TTGATAATATTTGAAAATAACATGTTCAATCATCATTAATTTCAATTGATTCATTCATATTTTTTATATATGCTTTTTTAATTATCTATTTTTTTTAACTTTTATTGCTGATATTTCCATCTCAAATTTTTCTCGAATTTCATTGAATTCTTCTAATTCTTCAATGGTTACGTTCTTATCTTCTCTTTTATAATAAGATTTCTGTTTTGATGTATAACCTATAGCAATCAACCCACAAGATGAAGTTTGAATAGCAGTAATTGTTGCTAATAAAGTTGGAATAAGTACTGGAACCATTAATCCACCAGTTACAGCCGTTGCAACTGTTCCTACTGTTAGAACTACACTCAGTGTTTTGAAAACAGAATCTAATCCATCTTTTCTTACATTTATTATATTGTTCTAGTTTTACTTTTAAGTCGTTTTGTTTGTCTATCATATATTGTTGTCTACTTTTGAGTTCCATTTTTAAGACATTAAATTAAGTGAATTCCTGATAAAGAAAAAGATGGATAGTGTTCAATATTTACAATAGGGAACCCCTTAATCTCTATACCTCCTCCTATTTTTTTCGTTTATCTGTTATCATTACTTCGTGTGTATAAATAGTAACTTTTACAGATACTAATGATATTTCTTCTTTCGAATCATTAATCTTATTTAGATGAACTGTAAATTTTCTATACTACATCTACAAGTATATATACCACCAACTTCTTTATTACTATTTCCTTCATGACGTTCAATTATTGATGAAAATATTATAAATTCTTTAGCTTGTTGACTTTTGTGAATATCAATTGAGGTAAATAAATCAGGATAATATTTTCGTACATTGAGTGAAAAACTATTATTAACAAAATATAGTTGTACATATTCAAAGTCTGATGTTCTTAAAAACGTATAACTCTTTATTGTGTGTGGTTTTTGTGGAGTTGGATTTCTAATAATGTTGATCGATGGTGAGCTTTCCGTCTTTAATATCATATCAAAATCACCTATTGAAAGAATATCGTTGTCATTGTCTGGTATTATTGACAATCTAAAGGTGTCTATATATTTTCCACTTGTTTTAATTTCATACATATGATAAGGCTTGTTGTTTTCATCATCAACTTCCAAATCTTTATTTTCAACATATTCACCATCTTTGATAAATTCGAAAATCTTACGAGCGTTAAAAAAGTTAGATGGATGAGAGAAGAAGATTTAATCGATTTTAAGTTTTACAGGAAAAAGAATTTCAATTAGAGATTTACCTCGGAAATTAAAGTTTCCCGAATCATCAAATATGTTTTCCTTGAGATGTTTTTCTAATGCGGATATATTTTGTTCCTGTTTTAAAAGTTCGTTATTAATAGTAGTTATCTGTTGTTGAATCTCACTATCATAAATATTTTTTATCAGTTGATTAATATTTGTTACTTCTTTTTGTAATTCAGTTTTAAATTTAGTTTCTAAAGCAGTTGATTGCTGTTGCCATTTGTCTTCACTTATCCCTGGTTTAATATTATCTATTAATTGTTTAAGATCTATTTTTTGTTTTTTAATCTTATCATCTAAATTAGATATTAATGAACTTAAACTTTGTAACTGAGTTTTATCTACTACATTTAGAAGTTGTTGTTTAATAGCATCTATTTCACTATTATCGATGAGTTTGGTTTCTAATTCAGTTAATTTTTCTTCACTTATACCTGGTTTAATATTATCTATTAATTGTTTAAGATTTTTGCTTTGATATCTTATCATCTAATTTAGATTTTAAATTTTGTAATTGAGTTTTATCTACTAAATTGAGTAATTGTTTTTGAATAGCGACTATTTCACTATTATCATTGAATTTGGTTTCTAATTCAGTTAATTTTTCTTCACTTATACCTGGTTTAATATTATCTATTAGTTGTTTAAGGTCTATTTTTTGTTTTATCTTATCACCTAATTCAGATATTAATGATTTTAAATTTTCTAATTGAGTTTTATCTACTACATTAAGTAATTGTTGTTTAATACCAACTATTTATTTTTGTATTTCACTATTATCAATAAGTTTAGTTTCTAATGTTGTTAATTTATCTTCACTTATACCTGGATTAATATTGGCTATTAGTTGTTTAAGATCTATTTTTTGTTTTGTAATCTTATCATCTAAATTAGATATTAATGAACTTAAAGGTTGTAATTGAGTTTTATCTACTACATTAAGTAATTGTTCTTCAATAAAAAGTTTTAAACTTGTTACTTCTTGTTGTAGTTTAGTATCATCAATAAACTCTTTATTATTTATTTGTCGTTTGAAGAATCTTTTCACATCGCCTATTCTTTCTTTTTAATGTTCTTTATTTATTGATCCATTAACTATTTCTTGTGAACAGCATCATAATCATTTTCTGATAACTTTAAATTAGTTATGGTAAAATTATTCATATCTAAATCACCTTGAAGCGTGTCTCCAATTTGTTCCACAAAATAAACTTTTGCTTTATTTATCCATGCTATTGTGTTAGGTTTTTTAGTATCTAAAGATAAACAACCTAATCCAAATTTATTCGCCATTTTTATTAAGTTAAATTTATTATAATTTCTTCAAATTGTTTTCCTAAATTCAACTGATATAAAACCCAAACTGAAAGCTGTCCACAAAACTTTTGTCCCCGTAATTGAAATTGAAATGTTGAACATTTGATTGGTTTATTAGTTAATTTCACTACTCTTCAGTGGGTTCTAATCCAAAAGAATCAAAAAAATATAAGTCATTTGAAGAGTCTTTGTACAAAGCAAATGATGAACTCCTTTTTGATCGGAAGTATGTATATTTGTTATAGCATAAAATTTACCTTTCTTATATTTGAGATTATTTATTTCATCTCTCATACAATAATAAAACGGAGATATATTTAACTCATTTGCCCATCTCATAAGTTGAAAGTTTGTAGTTGTATCGGTTCCGTATTTATCGAGAAAGATATTCATTTTAAAAGTCAGTTTTTTTAAGTCCGTTTTGATAAAACCTACCTATGATTTGTTCTTTGTCTTGATCGATTAATTCATATGTTGGAGGTGATGTGCTGTTTACTTTATCAACGATGAATATTTCGTTTGTCCAAAACCGACGTAGCCTTTTTCAAATTTGCTTTATATTTGAAAATACGAACTCGATCTCCGACTTTAAATTTGGATTTGATATTTAAATTATTTATTTCATTTTCGTAGTTATGTTGTGCGTTAATTGACTTAAATATTTGGATTATTTCTGGCTTGTGTTGGTGTGACAAATGCGTGTTTGACTGATAAACCTGTTTTGTTTTTGAGAGGAATAACCCAAGTATATCTTGTGTACAAATCTATAACTGTTAAGCAATATTTATATCCTCTTTCGACTGGCATATTAATCAAATCGGCTGACCATATTTCATCTACTTTAACTTTTAAAAAGTTTTTAGTTTTTCTAAATTCTTTATGTATTTCATCTGCTATTCCCATACCCATTTTCATCTTTGCTTTCAAGAGTTTAATGATTAATGCTCTTTGAATTCTCTCTTTGAAAGTTCGATTTGGAATATTTTCAAGTTCGATTATCATTTGTTTGTCTGCTTCGTGTCTGGATGTTATGTCTTTATTTCTGTATAATATATCGTGTTTAAGTGCAGCAGCATCAACTCTATTGACTGGTTCTTCACCTGGTTTGGGTTTATCGTTTTCGTCTAATCGCAAAGATAACCTTGTACCTGCACCAGTATAATTATGACCGGGAAGATGTTTTGTATTTTGCCCAAAGAAATCCAGGAAGAGAACCTAATGATTTTTAAATGTCAGAACCGAAATAAGTTTTAGGAGTTTGGGCAATTATCATTGACATTTTTATCCAATAATTTTAAAACCATTGCTTTTTTTGTTTTCTAATCTTTTATTTCGCATTTCTCTTATATGTTGTAATTCTTTCAACTCGTTAGATCTTTTCACTGTTTCGCTTTTATTTACTCCTGCTTTTGCTACAGATCCAAGAGCTTGCACCCCTGAGGAAATGAGGGATTTGTTGTTTGAGACAAAGTTGGCTACTTTTGGGATGAGAGATGATAGAGCTGTGTTATTCAAATTAACTCATTTAAAAACAGAATGAGTTTAATTTTAAAACACGAACAACACAAATTCGAAGGAGACGATTTTTAAGCATTTCCTTGCTGAATTCAGAGAGTTAACAATGATTTCTTAGCATTTCCTTGATGGATTCCGAGAGTTCGCCATGATTTTTAGCATTTCCTTGATGAATTCAGAGAGGAAACAATGATTTTACCATTTCCTTGATTGATTCATTGAGTTAACAATGATTTTTTAGCATTTCCTTGATGAATTCAGAGAGGAAACAATGATTTTAGCATTTCCTTGATTGATTCATTGAGTTAACAATGATTTTTAGCATTTCCTTGATGAATTCAAGAGTTAACATTTTTCTTTAGCATTTCCTTGATTGATTCAGAGAAGAAACAATGATTTCTTAGTATTTCCTTGATGAATTTGAGGATACAATGATTTTTTTAGCATTTCCTTGAGTGATTCAGAGAGTTAACAATGAATTTTTAGCATTTCCTTGATTGATTTAGAGAGGAAACAATGATATTTTAGCATTTCCTTCATCAATTCAGAGAGGAAACAATGATATTTTAGCATTTCCTTCATCAATTCAGAGAGGAAACAATGATATTTTAGCATTTCCTTCATCAATTCAGAGAGGAAACAATGATTTTTCAGCATTTCCTAGTCCGTTTCGTCACTTTGAAACAGTCGTGTTTTAGCTGCTAACTAGTTTGATACGATTTTTCAGATGCTAGGTAATACTGTCAAATCTTGCATTTCAACAGAAATACTGATTGTGTAGGGTAGAGTACTGGCCCTGGGGCCTGGTCTATGTCACGTTGTGGATACATCCTAAACTACTCATGTTGACATCTCAATACTCTGACAATTGGTAATACATTATATCTAATAATTATATATCCTACCCAGGAGCTAAAACTTTAGAAAAAGAATCAAATCTTATGACTCGTCCATCTACATCCATAGATAACAGCGTTTTTGGTAAAGGCTGTAAAAATAACAATAATAACTCAAGTCACACATATAAGGAACAATATAATGTGTCATTTCAAACAAAGGTATAAGCTATCCAGCCCAAAGCTTTTATGGTGACTTATTAAATACAATGCCTTAAAAATTAATGTTTTGCTTGATTCTTAGAGGTTAACAAATAAACAACAATGTAGAGCATAATCTTACCCTTTTAAATTGAGTCAAGTAATAAGCATCGTCTTCAAGAATCAACAAATCAAAATCGTGACAAATCTGATATATATCTCTTCGACGATCTTCTGACCATGTAATACCTCGTGGGTTGTCTCCAGTTGGTACAAAGTAAAAAGCCTTAGGTCTTGGAATGTTTGGTTTCTTGTCTTCCCAGTTTTGCAAAAGTTCTCTTAAAGAACTGGGTACTGGTCCATGTGCATCTACATCTGGTAAACCCACTATATTAATACCAAGTGGTTCACCCTGAATCAAGATATAAAAGTATTGAAAATTAATATTGTTTAGGATTTTGAAACTGGTGTCGATGAAAACAGTGTGTATTAACAGAACATTTGCGGTTTGAAAAACATGGATCTTTGTCCAAAACATCCGATCATAAGAATTGATATAGAAAAAAAGGTAAGCTTAATGAAGGTTTCTGTTGTCTCATCTGAATGAGTCGTGTTAGTGAATTTTTTATAATTGTTTTATAATATAAGTGCAGTGCAAATAAAATTTACCGTGTAGTACATATATTGCCTAAAAAATAACAGCAATCAAAAGTGCTACTTACAACACAGAGCATGGTTTGATATGTAGGATTTTGGGTTAAAAGAGTATCGCCTTCATCAAGGATCAGTTCAAAAGTCTGAAAGAGATGTCAAAGATTCCTAAGATTTAATCAGTTGTATTTAAGACTACTGACTATATGCATTTGAGATAAACAAGAGTTGATTTTAAAAAGTGGGATATCTCAATCGAATTGAAACAAACCTTGTCACCAACAACTGCACTCATTTAATGTATCATACTTTTTGCAATTTCTCAAGAATGCACATGTGAAGATGACTACCAAGTGAAATAGAATCTCACGTAGAGGTAAAGATGAACTAAATTCTATGGAACAATTGGTGGATAATTGGACAAATTGAATTGAAAATACCAACTGTTGCTATGGCTGCTAAACTACCGGCTGTTACTAATACATCTAATTTACTAGGATGACTAGTATTCTTCCACGCTGGAGGATCGTGCAATCTTTTTACTAGCTCTATCAACCATTCTTTCAACTCTGGAAGACTTAAAGATAACCAAGTTTAAGAGAAGATAAATTTTTCTTAAAGGCTTTGGTACTAATCGTAAAATATGCTTTATCACCTTAGGCCCTTCGCTTTTAGTGACGTCATCAAACATTTTAAGAATCACAGAAGTCTGACTCAAAATAAGAATGATGCAAATTGATGCTATCTGTGTCCCCGATACACATAAACAATTGAAAAACTTTTTTACATTCCTTTTAATCCCACCAGATCATCGAAGAAGAATGAAATGTATTAGGACCATATTGTTCATTTATCGAAAAGAATCAAACAGAGCAGTGTAAAATAACAAACTCTGTATAATTGACATACAAAATTCGATGTTTACTTCTATGCACTTTCAGTTATCCAATGCTTCAATCATCCGATACATACCCTTTTAGACTACCATACTGTAACGCCACCTTCATCTGATCTTCACCAATCTGCAGCTTTGTTCCATCTCTGTAATATCATGCATATATATCCTATACATCTCCATTCAAAAAGGAACAGTTTAGTACTAGTTCATTGATAATTCTCCTCAGAATCATTAATACTTAAAACACATAGAAATGGTTGTAATGCAATATTTGTGGACATAATCACATTTTTTAGCTATTGAAACTAAAGAGGGATGTCTCACTTGAGAATTAATTCTGTTCCAATAATAGGGAAAATATCTGCATGTGGATGACCAGCTAATAGAGGCACATCTTGTCCTGGAACTGGCTTTCGATCTGCAAAACAGAAGCAGTTATCTAGAGCACAGACATCAACCTTCAACATTTACATCACCGTCATTCATATTCAGTGACAAATTGTGTGATTAAAAGTTAGTATCAGCAATTATATAATTATATTTATTACAATTATGTTATATATTATATAACAATGCACTTGTTCTGGTAGGATCTATCCTATAAAATGTAATACTGGGGAAATCATACATAAACTCCCAGGGATATTATATGTGGATTTTAAATGTAAAATCCCAGGGTAATTATCTAAACCATTTTTGACTCCAGAAGGCCTTTTCAAATATATAGTCTAATTCATTGGTCGCTGGCTGAATTGATCATGTATGTAGATATGATTAGCACCCATTTGGCAGAAAACGTCTCGGCCCAAAAATTTTAAAAAGATAGCTTGCCAGGCAAAGTAATAAACGCCCACTGACAGATTTGATTTTAAATAAAAATATTTGGCAGTACAGTAACAATTACCAGTATGAAATATTCAACCTTCAGTCATACACTTCTTTTGAACTTCTTTTGAGGCGATACTGAATCATCAAAATCCGTCAGGAATTGGGCCTTCTAGAGTGTTTACAGTCTAAAACTTGAACGCAATAACTCCGTCAAGAATTGGGCTTTGTAGAGTTTCATATCATTTGGGCGTATAAAAATATAGAGCATATTTGTTAACTCCAATGAAAATTTTATGGTGAATATTGTGTTTGGACAGTGAAATTTGACTCCTGAAACACTTGAGTATGTGGTGGAAAGGCCTGTGTTTAAAAATTCATTAGAATTCCTACAATCACGAAAGATTTAAAGTCTTCCAAATAATAAGTCTAGCTCACTGGTTGATGACTGACCGAGTGCTAAAGGCACGAGTTGCACCCTTTATTTCATTATTATTCATTGTTGTTTTGTTTTGTTTTTATCAAACCTAAAACCAAGCAAATGAGTCCTTAATAGGGTTCAAAAATTAACAATTCCACCAAGTTTCTTTAACATCTGTTGTGCCTTTTACAGTGTTTACGGGTAAAAATTGGACACATTTTCAAGAACAAGAGTAAAAACTCATGTCAAATATTTGAAGATTTTTTGAATTTGCTTGAGGGAGCATACTTGGGTAATGTTATAGAATTCACCAAGTTTCATCTTAATCCGTCAAGAATTGTGCCTTGTAGACCTTATACACCTTATAGTACGAGCTAAAAATTGAACGAGATTCCAAGAACAAAGGCAATAACTCATTACATATATCTTGATTTTATTATTTTCAATAGTTAATCCTAATAAACAGTTTCACCAAGTTTTGTCCAAATCCTTCAAGAATTGTGACTTCTAGAGTGTGTACGAGCTAACTATTGAATTGTAATGTTATTGATTTTCAATACGGTTTATCCTAATTTGACAAAACCAGACACTCACACGAAGTTTCGTTAAAATCCGTCAGGAAACCAGCTCAATATCGTGTCAACTATCGTACTTGGAAATGGGATGAACACCATACTTACCATCATGTCCAGAAGCTGTTGCGGATTTTTTTCGTCTTAGTGCAAGCTTACTTAAATATTTTTCATAGTCAGGATACTTCTCTGTTCTGAAACCAAAATATACTAATGACATTCATACACGCAGATTTAAATGAGATTTCATGTGCAAGAAATAAACGTGAAATGTGGTGTGCGACAAGGATCAAGCAAGGACCAATTCTATATTCCTTATTTTTATATACCTTCCATTATTTGCTAAACATTCAACCACAGAAATATGTGCTGATGACACAACCATTTATTATATTATAGAATTAGGGTGACCAGTGACGGTAGGGAAGCTAAATGAATTAATTTATGCCAAGTGGTGTCATAGTTTTGAGCTCGTGGATCCAATATAGTTCGGTTCTGCGTCTTTCTTTGGGGGTCGTATCTAGATCAGGGTCATGGTTTATGATTCTGATTAGATGGACAAAGAAAGGATCTGGGCCATGGCCGGGTTTATTGAAGTGTTTACTGACTGTTCTGTTCTGTTCTGCCGAATGTCGGCACGATGTTCTTTTAGTCCTATGTAAATGGAGCGTTTTGATTCTCCGACATATTGCAGTCTGCAGAATTTGCAGGTGAGCAGATAGACAATATTGCGGGTGTTGCAATCACAGGCTGATACACAGTTGTATCTTTTTCCAGTCGTGGTGCTACATATCTTTGTTTTTTTATATCCATAGGCACATATCACAATGTTTGTTCGTGCACACAGGCTGTGTCCACTGAACCGTTCGTCCCGAGATGCCGGATCTGCAGGGATATGGGCCTAAGAAAGGGTATTTTCAGTAAGTCATTTCTTTCCTAAAATAATACATTTATTATATTAATACTGTTGTTAATCTCATAGAACAATCGTTGCAAGAAGATTTCACCTCTCATATTTGCTTCCCCACACCCCTCCTTGAAGTATTTTCTAGATAGTAGATACAACCCTGTTTATTAGCTTAGCTAAGAAAAATTGTGTTTCTGAGACTGAGGTTGGTCAAACAGATGGCATACGTGTCAGTTTAATCTTACCATTTTTTTTAATCAATTATTGCATAATCATTTTTATAATATCAGTTGAAACTTTTTTTCTCCAATTGTTCGAGATCGGTGTTTCGGACTACCTGTAATGTTCGTGGACGATGATCCAAATGACATCGACTGAACACGAAACATTACTAGGCTGCCCAAGTCAACGAAACTGGACTTCCGCCTGCTCGACACTGCCACATCATCATTTGTCATCGCCATGTTGTCATCATTCATGTTCAGCGAATAAATATTTTTAGAAACATCACATCGCGTTCTTCATCGCATCTCATCGCATCCCAAACACAAATAGCTTATAATTTCTTTGTACATATATGTTCAAGTTACGTCTAATAAATAAATAACAAAGGTCAGCTATAGCTATATATTTCGCTATTTGTCCATTATATACAGTGGTGTAACCTATTTTCGTGGATATAAGGATTCAACACCAAATTTTGTCAAAGTTAAAAAAAGGAAACAAAATTTTTATGTCTTAGATGTTTCCTCAGATATTCTACAAAATAATTAAAATTGGTTTATTTCGATTTTCTTTATGAATCCTTCACTTTAACCCATATTTCATGAGCAACCAACTCGGCAACGGCGGCAGAATGCGTCACATATTTTCGTGTATAATGTTTGATCTATAAATAAGTCAAGAAAAACACGTTGTATGGATACCGGGTGGTATAATTAACCTCTCTTAATATTTATCTTTAATATCAATTCATTATAACTAGTGACAATTCCTTCAAAGAACCATGATTTTAAAAAAAAATAGTGACTGACAAAATAAGATACGTAGCGTGATTTATTGCTAAAAGTCACTGAAACAACATAAGAATATGGTCCACTTTGTGTTCCATAGAAATTTTCTGCTGACATGGAATCCGCTAGTTGATCATGTGACCTCATTTGTTGGAATATATTCTAGCAGACGACACTTGGAATTCCGATTACCGCATGGGATTATAAGGAAATTCGGCCGATAAAAAATGGTGACGTTTGGTAATAAGTGAAATCCGCCATTTTGTATTTGTCAAAGTATACATTAATACATTTTTTACCTTACTTGAAACTACTGGATTCATTCTACTAGCTGATATTGTACAGAAAACCCATGTTTATCAAAACAAACTAATGCGGAGGTCGCGCAAGGTCGCTCATGTAAATTATTAATGCATTCCGGAAATCCACGAATAATAGGTTTCCACGAAATTAGGTTACTTGACTGTCTATGAGGAAAACTTGGAAGGGAGAAATCACCATTTGAACACGAATACCGGTACATAAAATATTGTTGATCGACGTATGTGCCACCATACATTAGGCCTACAATCCATAGAAGGATTAAACATTGGCGATTGAAACATGAAAACAAGCAGTTTTATAGCTTTAAATGAATCAAATATATGAAGAAGACAATTCGAAGATTTAGACCATACTAAAGAGAAATATCCTTAATACGAACCTGTTTGTGAGCTCCATTATTTGAACTGAGTTGGTATATATAACTCTATGGTTTGTTACCTGTATTGTCGCGTGCTAACTACGGTAGCTGCTGAATGCAATGAATCCATACAGTATAATACAAGCCGTTTGCATGATTGTTTTGAACGACTTAAGAATATTACGGTATGGCAAATCAATGTTATCAATGTCAGATAAAAATCAGATAAAGATAAGATAAATCAGATGGCTGTTTTGGCAGTGACTATTTACCACGTATTAACCCCGGCCACACTCTGAAACACGTAAAATCAGCTAAGTATCTAAATGGACGAGTCGTTATTTTAAAATTCAAATGCGAATAATTCTGGACACACATGGAATTGAATACTCAAATTAGGACGGTGAGCTATGAATTAACACTAATACTGATTGACTAAGCTATTGATTGATCCCGCTTTTGGGATTAAAGTATGATTAGTAAAAATAAATGGCGCATCTGTCCCTACTTTAAAGGTTGTAGGCCTACCGGTAGTCCTGTTATAATGTTAATTTTGTAAATATATATTTCAGGGTTTTAAATACATGTTTAATAAAACATAAAACTGGATTGTGTTTTCATACAGCTGTAGGGGATTTGTGTATATTATGCATAGGGTTATATATAGAGTTGCTATATATAACTCTATGATATTATGTTATATAATTGTATGTGTATTCCGGAATTGTCTATATTTAGTTACTAACGTAACTCCTGTTGTTTACATTCAACCGGAAGTAGGAATTTAAGGTTGTAATATTGTTTCTTCTAGAATAGCCTGTAGAATAGTTGCTGTAGTTGCTAAACGTGGTCCAATGGGAAAATATGTCTCGCTTTGCAAGTGCAGTGCTCAACGTCGTTCGGTATGAAAGTAGTTAATTTGGGTGTAGTTTAACCAATCGGTCGTGGGCTGGAAGTTAGTAGGTTCCGCTATATGTAAGCTTGCTCTGTGGGAGTTGCAAGTGCAACACTCCGCTCCACAGATTTAACTTTTAAGTGTTACAGATGCAGATGGTTAGTCCGTAGCCTATTTATCTGGTTAATCGGCTTGTGCTTTTTGGTGTAAATTTATCCCCGGGATGGAACTTCAACGTTCCGCTCTACTAGTGAACCTGCTCTAAATTAGGGCAAGAGAACGTTTACTTAAGTAAATGTTTCGCCGTGAAGTAATGTGAATGTTAATAAAAGTATTTAGTTTAATCTTATTCCTTAGATTTTTCTCGGAAATCAGCATCTTGATCGAAATCCTTGCCACCTGAGAGCTGTTCAGGAGCCATTCAATCCCTCCTGCTACATAGGCTATAGCAATACCCCGAGATATTACATAAATACTGGTACAAAACAAGTGGTTGCCTAGCAAGATACATCCACTTCAACAATCTGTGTCAAATCTACTAACATTCTAAATTGTCAAAGATATTGTTGATTTGAACCAACAAAATATTCTGACATTAACTGTCACCTCTATAGCCACATTTAACATAAATTGTATTATTAAAATCAGATGAAATCTTTATAATCTCTATATTATTCATGAAAAAATTTTGATGCCTTTTGATAAGTCAAGGGCCATTTAACTCAAAATCTGTGCAACAAAAAATCATTAGATTCGACTTGACCAAGATTTTATAAATGATCACAACAAATTTGATTGAAATCAGATGAAAACTGTAGTCTCTATTGAGTTTACAAACAAATTTTGATTCGTTTTTACTAAGTCATGGTCCAAAACTTAGAAACCATTCATTGAAGAATCATCAAATTCGAATTTGACCAAAATTTCATTGTTTTAGATGATCAAACCAGATTTTATTTAGATAGCTTGCCAGGCAAGGTAATATATGCCCACTGGCAGCTTTGATTTTAAATAAAAATATTTGGCAGTACAGTACCAATTACCAGTATGAAATATTCAACCTTCAGACATACACTTCTTCTGAATTTTTTGAGATGATACTGAATAATATTACCAAGTTTCATCAAAATCTGTCAAGAATTAGGCCTTCTAGAGTGTTTACAGGCTAAAACTTGAACGCGTTTTTAAGAACAAGGGCAATAACTCACACTAAATATTTTTGGATTTTTCTGATTTTCAATAGGGTTCATCCTTGGGTGATTACATACACTCACACCAAGATTCCTCAAAATCCATCAAGAATTGTGCCTTCTAGAGTGTTTACGTGCTACAAGGCCATTAACTCGTACTAATTTTTTTCGATTTTTCTGATTTTCAATAGGGTTCATCTTTGGGTGATTACTAACTCTCATACAAAGTTTCGTTGATATCCGTCAAGATTTGTGCCTTCTGAAGGCTTTACGAGCTAAAATTGAACGAGTTTTCAAGAACAAGGGAAATAACTCATACTTATTATTTTTTTATCTTTTGATTTAGGGTTCATCCTTGGGTGATAACAAGCACTCACACCAAGTGTTATCAAAATCCGTCAAGAATTGCACCTTCTAGAGTGTTTACGAGCGTTTCAAGAACAAGGGCAATAACTCATACTAAATATTTTTCTTGTTTCATAACAAACAACCATACCAATCTTCGTCGAGATCAGTCAAGAATTGTGCCTTGTAGAGTGTTTACGAGCAATTGTGGACGGACGGACATGGGTGACGGCAATATTCAACATTCCATGTGGGCGTATAAAAATAAGATGAAAACTTTATATATTCCATTGTTTTAACAAAAAAAAAGGGCAATAACTCAAAAACTGTTCATTGAAAAATCGTCAATTTCGAATTTGACCAAAATCTCATCAATATAAATTACCACACCCAATTTCATTAAATTCAGATAAGAACTCTAGTGTCTATCATTTTCATATGCCAATTGTGGACGGACGAACAGGGGTGATGACATTATAATGTCGGTGATAGAAAGGAAATCATAACAAGTAAATTTACAAGTACTGTTGCCAATCAATCTAATTTCAATATGATTTTTAAATAATTATATAGTTTTTGCATATATTTTATAAAATAATATGTGCTCTACATTATACAATAAATAAAATAAAAATTAATGATATGAGGAGCATTATAAAAAATCGTGATATCAAATTATCTGAATAACAATATACAATGTACAATAACTTTATTAGTTTATTATAATATTTTAAAGGTAAAAAAAGCCAAAGAATTAAAGAAATATCAAATGTGAGTTGAATAAACTTAACGTTTTATAGGCAGCGTTATCATGAGAATATATTGTTTACAAAAAGAAAATATCATTTATCATTTCTTTTTATCCTTCGTGTAACTATAAATATTGTGCTTTTTCATTTTTTCAGTTTTATATGAAAACATATCCTTACATGTTCAATTTGGCTAAAAGGTTATAGGTTCCAGAAAGCCATTTATGATGGATGAAGCTATGGCAAGATATTTAGAAACATGATTGATAATGAGAACTTAAACATGATTTACAATGGTTTACTTTGAGTTGACAGACCAATCATATGATAAATATGACACTTTAAACTTTCCTGACATAACTTCTTTTAATTTCTCTTTTTTCTCTGATTCACCCATATAATCATAGACCCATTGTACCAGCTACAGATAAAACATAAAACATAAATGTAGCATTAGAGGGAATATGTTAAAACTGAGAAAAATATATAGTACTTTTATTATTCATATACCCTTGACAAACATTAATTAGATTGTTATCAAAGCGTTCATTTCAATGGTATATAAACACAATAATATGTGCAATACCAGAGATCTGCGTGTTTTGTTACATTTCAAGATTAAAATCCGATTCATTCTGAAACGGTCTATTGATTGCAAATAATAAAGCTGTATCAGCATTTTAAAAGCAAACATCTAGATAACTGGATATAATAAATAATTGTAAACATGACGTTAGTATGGTATATTAAATGGAAATTTCTTGTTATTGACAACATGCTAGAGAACTAGAGATTTTTTTAGGGACAAGAAATGACAGCCATACCTCTTCATTGTTTTTACCAAAGTCAATAAAATACCATTTAAATATGGAGGAGAGATAGACAGTCTTTTTACTAACATTTACATCACATCCATCTGGTCCATCTAAAAATGCTTCGGATGCTACTTTTAACTGTTCAATTACAGCCTAAAACAATAATCCATTTTCAATATATTCAAAGCCAAAATCGCATATGCATATGCATATAGAAAGAGTGTTGGATTTCATAACTTCTGACATACTGTCCAATATTTATAATGCTCTGTGGTGTAAGGGAGGTAACTGTAGACATCTTCAGAGGAAAAGATTCATGTTGAATATTAAAAAAAAAAAAATTGACAGTCTCAGCTATTTCAGAGCTAAAGAGAAACCATCAGATATTATCTTCCTTAAAAAACAAATATTGACTTTATTGAGGAGTCATAGAAAAGAACAAAAAAACAATGCTTACATCTGGTGTGTATGTTTTTATAGGTGGACAACTTTTAGCACCGCAAACTAAACCAAAATGAATCAAAGGTTCATGTTTCTCTAGAGCTACTTTTAATCTGGGATCATTTTTACCAAATGGATTACTAAACATACCTGCAACAAAAATATTCAGATAAACAAAGGGATAATGGATTGTAATTAACTCTCAATCAATAATCCATACATTATTTAAAGGTAATTTGTTGTGTCAAATTTCTGCTCCTCAAGAACATCAGAAAGGGAATTTCAATGCTTTCTGACAGTTAACAATTTTGAAGAACCATTATCAATATTCAACATTGTTCTTCTAAGATAAGATTTGTTATAACAGGAGAAATTCATCTAAGAAATCAAAACTCTAACTAAAGATTATTGATACACACCCACTCCTTTTCTATTTGCTCGTAAAACACCATTTTCTATATCTTGTAATGAATAGGAATGTCCACCTATTATATATTTAACTGTGTTAAAAAACTGTAAAATAGAACATTGTCCCTTCTATATATCTTTGCCCTTACTGTTTAATAGGAATTAGAAAATAAGCTTGAATAAGGAATGAATAATTCAGGCTGTATTCTTTGGCATCATCAACAATTCTTGATTATCTATGAAATTTTCAGAACATTATCAGATTGTTGTGATAAATTCTATCTTTTTTCATCAACATTGAAAAACTTTTATCTTGCCTTGTATCTTTGCCAGATATTAACTGGTGGTCCACGGCTAACATTAGCATGTACAACTAGAGCATTATACACATTAATAAAGAAAGCTAGCTTTTCTTCTCTACTAGCATCTACTATTTCAACACGTTGTAGCTCTTTAGTTAATTTTATATAATGCTTAAATTCATCACTTCCACCAATACCTTTATAATCAACTTTCTGTAACATAATTGATATACATATAGCTATCGCACAGGTTTAGATATGAACCTCCTGTAAAGAAGACTCATCAAAGATGCCAATTGGAACTGTGGGTCAAACATTGAACCCGACTGATTCCCTGCAATTGGTGTAAATGGATATTTGGTGCTTTTAATGAAACATTTTAGGTAATCGATCCCAACAACACAAGAGGTATCATTATCAATAAGCAGTTCAGGCTCCCCGACGTTAAAAAGATATTCTACCTTGCCATCAGGTGATAGAAAAGCTGCATATAATCTCAGTATTAATTTTCTTAAATCTGCTCCAAGCTCAGCAGCTGAAAGAACACATACATCTCAATTAAAGTTTATTAACCAGTAAACTATGTTTTTTCTCAGATTCCTAGTTACATCATTCAAATTGACACAAAACACCTTTTCTCCACGTATAATGTGTTGTCAGTCCATTTTAAATAAGTGATTAACTAGCAAAATACGCCCACTTCCCTGATAAATTATCAGTATATCAAAGGTGGTCGCCAGTCTGTGTCAAATAGTACCAAAAATCTAATTTGTACAAGATACTGTTGATTTAATCAAACACACATAAACTGAAAACAAATTTTGATGCATTTTTACTAAGTCAAGGGCAATAACTCAAATTCCATTTATTGAAAAATCGTCAAATTCAAACTTTACCAAGATCTCATTGTAATAGATGATCACAACAGATTTCATTAAAATCAGAAGAAAACTGTAGTCTCTATTGTGTTCACAAACAAATTTTGATGCGTTTTTACTAAGTCAAAGGCAGTAACTCAAAAAACCATCCATCGAAAATTTGTCAAATTCGAACTTGACCAAGATCTCATGAATATAAATGATTAGACCAAAATTCAGTAACATCAGATAAAAACTGTAGTCTCTATTGTGTTCACAAGCCAACTGTGGACCAACGGACAGGGGCGACTACAATATATGACCACATTATAATGTGGAGGTATAAAAAACATTTAGATTGCATTGAAACCTATAATGGTTATAGTTCTGGACCAATTCATTTCAAAGTAAATATCGCATCTCATTTGAAGATTTTGCAAAGATATTAAAATGCTTGATACCTGGTCTAGGTTTACAATCTGACATTCCACCACTATTTAAGGCATCTTCATCATCATCATCTAATAGTCTATAATATACATCTTTATCTTCAAATGTTTCTGATGATTTCACATTATGTCCGAAATGATTATCAATCAAGGCTTGTCCCATCTCAATAGCCTGTTCCCTTTCTGGAATATATAATTTAATTATGTTACAAAGAAATGTGCAACTTAACATATAACAATGCACATACTACTTGCCTATTGTATCTGTACCTTTGATCTTGCAGCTGTTGATGTGTCAATTGATCACACTCCAACAGTGATAAAAATTGCCTCAATTAGTGGGTATATTAGTTGAAGTAGATGAGGGATGCTTATCAGATTTATTTTCCAGTTAAAATTATCATTTAGATGAATTAATATTAAAAGAAGTCTTTGTGAGCTTAAAAATTGATATAAGCAAATCAATTTCATGCATAAAGAAATAAAGATATATTTACTCACCTAATTGTTTAGTTTTAACAACCCAATCAACAAAATCTTTACCACTGAAGGAGTTTTTATAAGTTTTTAATCCTTTTCTATGGTCTTTGATTAGTCCACTATCTTTTAAATCATGTACTAATATAGCATATTCATCTGGTTCACAAACAATCTCTCCTGGGTCTACAAGTAAAAGAATTTTATTCTATGTTGTCATACAGAATTGTATAGTAATGAACTTCAGAGGGTTAAGGATAATTTTACCATAATTGCATTTTAGATTCAATCCCACTCCCATTACATAATGTGAATATGGCAGTTTAGACTGTTGTCACTTACAGCCAAATACAAGTCGTAACATTTCCAACTGCAGTTGTATTATAATATCTTAAACTGTATGTTACCATACAGTGGGTCTACATTCCAACAGTATGCCACTAATAAGGGGCACTAAAACTGGTGCAGGTGATGGTTCATACCTGTAAAATGCTGATCTAGGGACATTAGAACAATGGTGTTTCTCTGGAGAATATAGAATAACAGAGGTTAACAACAATAGTACCTACCTGCAGAGTGTTGAGCAGTGCTAGGATCAGGTGGTACAGGAGCATCTGATTGAGATTCATTATTCTTCACTTCTTCTATTAGTTTCTTAAGTTCTTCTTTATTCTTTATCTATAACAATCACAACTTTTCAAGGGATGCAGTCTTTCAAACATACATTTAATCAACAGCTAGAATTTTCATTTTTCACTTTACAGATTGCAATTTAGACATCAGATGCGCCTATGATTAAATTAAAATGCATTAGTGTAAGTCAACCTATCAATTTAAAGGGTGGTAAGGGGGGCCTGGATATGTTCATTAATGCATTTCTCTCCAATCATATTTTAATTTTTACAAAGGCCAAACATTTCAACTCTAAATATAATCTTGAAGCTTAAGTTTTGATCTGTTAGATGCTTAGTTAAAATTTAGGAGAGCATATCCCTTTAATTGTAGTATACTTTTTCACTTGTTATCTTTTAATTGTCAATCATGGGACTAGTGATCAGATGCCTTAATATAGGTTAAAATTTGATTAAATAATGGAAGGCTTACTCTACTATCAATCACACACGGTCCAGGCCCGTAACTAGCCCAGGGTCTTGGATCGGGTCAAAAGTGGGGTTCATCAATATTGACTCAACATGTCTATCAAGCTATCTGAATGTTTCAGAGAGGGGCCAAAATTTTCTTATGGGGGGGCTGGCCTCCCCTTGCCTCCCTTTAGCTACGGGCCTGACGCGGCCTCATGCACATACATCTGTGAATTGATCAAATGATTTAGTGATTTTTAATTATACTTTTAAAGTAGATATCATGAGTAAAGAATCGTAATTTAGGCTAGTCAGAGCACTTTAATTATAAAATAATTAATTACTTACCACAGCTTGCAGATCATCATTTCCACCAATATGTTTATTATTAAAAAATATCTGAGGTACAGTTTTCTTGCCAGTTTTAGCTTGAAATTCTTCTCTACATTGAGGGTATAGATCTAAACTGATGTCTGTGTAGGGTAGGTTATGTTCTTGTAAGGAATTCTTAGCTCTCATACAGTGAGGGCAACCCATGATAGAATACACTATAATCCTGCCCTTTAGCTCCATAGTTGGTGAATGTTGATAGAAAGGCTTGGAATTTACACTTAATAAAGCTACTGGGGTATAAGTTAATAATTTTGTAGAAGATTTGAAAATCCACCTGAGCCCAGAATTTGACTTCCTTAAAACAGGATTGAAAAACTGCAATGTCATGTATTGGAATGTATTGCGTAGCCACAGTAACGACATTAATAATAAAATGACTGGTTTTTATTCATAAAGTTTACTATCTAGATCATTATAGTATAGTGTCTCTATATACATTACATGTTTAGTCTAATGACAGTAATCAATGACTTGACATTCCTGCCCATTCAACGATAAAATTGGGCGTGGCAGTTGTTGATCTAAGGGAGATAACTGTATTAAGACCACATGGACTTCTCCAAAAGGTTTCATCACAGAATTGTATACAGTTCTATGGTTTCATAGCCTACCAGCCAATTTCATCACGGTTGTTAGCAGGTTACAGTTCCATAGCCAAACAGTCACATGAAAATTCACCTTTACAGAAATTGTTGAATCATCTTCCCTCGTCAACATATTCCTGTCCCTTCTATGAAATAAGCTTATTCTACAGCACATTTATTAATCTCGGTTATTTGATTCACAGAAGCCTATTAATTTAACATACAGGCCTTTACCAGCAAGGATTGTTTGATAGTATAGCTTTTGCTTGAAGTTTTTATACCTAACCGTTGATGATTATTTTTAGAAAAGTGAAAATCAGTCTACAGATGAATTCTAAAAAGATTCTCAGATTTTCTTTCTGTATTATATATAAAATATAGTATGACAATAGGCATCAAGGTGAAGACTACAGTCTAAACTAGGGGAGGTCTTCAAAGTGTAGATAACAATAACACTGTTTAAGTTGTTATTTCAAATATTTTAATGTACAATTGTGTTCTTTATGCATAATAATAATAGTAATAATTGATAAATACAATATACCTAAAGCACTATTTAATAAAATCAAATAATCAAAGAAAAGAGGATTTACCCAACTTCAAATAAAGATGTAGGTTTTTTTTAAATTAAGCCTGATTTTTAAAATTAAGCCTGATTTCATGTAAAGGAGGGTCCAAGATCAGCTGATATTTAACATCATCTCATCAGATCTTTCCCAGTCAATATCAGCTTTAAGCTTAACTCAAGTAACCAAATAACAAGAGCACTCTACTGAATTGTAACAATTAAGATGATTTTAGAGGGAAAGTTACAGCAACTTTTCATTTATTAGGGCAAGTTGACAAAAACCAGTGATTCTCTCAAATACCACATGCCAGCAGCTGCTAGTCAGTGAAAATTGAGATGCTCTCATATTGTGACAGTCTATAGGTCAATCTTCATGTTCACACTGTGCAGGTTCAATTCATCAGACCTATTGCTGTCATTTTTACACTATTCTCAAAAACAAAATCCTTCAAAAATAACAAAGGTCTACATTAAACTTTTCATTAACATACCCTGAAAACAAATTTTCTATTGGAATTAGATAGCTTTTTCAGACTTAGTTCTGTGTTAAGGCATTGACCAATTCAACGCCAACTTTTTTTTTTCTGTTCAAAGACTGAAAAGATAGATAACATTAGATTCCTCAAAAACTCAGAGAGTGATAAATCCCTCAGTCCCTTTGTCAAACTAAGTTTTAATAGAAGTTGGCCACTGGTAAATAGTAAAAGCCTAATCAGTTTAAAATCTTCATTCCTTCATATAATTCTAGGGTGAATTATACCAAGTCAAAACTGTACTAATTCACAATAACTTTCAAACTTGACATAGATATCTGATATTTCACAACAAATATATCAGCACAATCCACAATGTAAATAAAATTGTCTAATTCATGACAAAGATTTCAGCAAAAAAAATATTACTAGCTCACAAAAAAGGTGATAAGCGTGGTTTCATCATGTATTTAATTTCAGATAAAAAAAAAAGTTGAAATTTTCCTTTTTGTAGGAAAAATATGCTCCTTTAGATTGGCATTTATCGACTTTGACAATTGATCAAAATAATTTCTAAGACAATATTCTATAGTTTTCACACAAATGGAAAGATTTCAAGATAAGCAAAAATAATCTTTGAAGGCTGACCAGAGAATACTTTAATGAATAACTATGTATGGGTAAATATTGTTTAAATTTGCCATATAATCATACAGTTATTACAATTGTATGCAACATAACTTTAGCAAAATAATTTTGAAATTAATAATAATTTGAAAAATGATTAACATAAAATCTGATGGCACATATCTAGTTACAAAATAAATAATATATTTTTGAAATATCATTTTATATATATAACAAAAGCACATCAACAAAAGAATTAACGCAATGATCTTTTTTATTAGTAATACTTTTTTTGTTAAATCAATTCCAAAACCTATTTTCTAACCTATAGCTGTATCAAGATATTATACCAAATACCACAGTTTTACCATCTAGTACTCCAAAATTGCAAATATTTTATTCATATTATTGTCATAATCCAATTTTTCATGAATGTGATTTTATATAATTATTTATTTATTGAGCAACTTAAACCAATATGTCCCCAAGACCAATCTAATGCCTTACAGGTCTACCAGATGTTAATAGTTATATATTAGACAAATAATATTATCTATAAACCTAACCTTATACTAAAAGAACACAATTTAAGATACTGTTTAAGATGTACATAAAGATATCTACATTAATAATAATAAAGATGGTTCTGTACACAGCATATAATAGGTTATTTTACAATTAATCACTGGAAGCAAAAAAAAACTCTACAATATATCATAGTATGATTCAAATGGGAAATGGTTGGATTCACTCAATACCATGTCTTAAGCAGTATCTGAACTGAACTGAGATATGTCATAATGTAAAACTATGTGATCTGAATTAAGATTAGACTTGGTATTCCATTTCAGGAGAAAAACAAGTTTAAATTTGACCTCTAATAAAACCTTTTCATTTAAAGTAGTTTTCAGAGTTTGAGCAAACATTATTTTAATTTTGTATCATTAGTTCAATAAAGTCTTCTTTACAACACCACTCTCAAGTTCTTTGGCCTGATGCAAAGCACAAAGCACTAACTTTATCTTTTTTCCTTCTTCATAAAGTTATAAGATCCTCACTGTGTATTCACATTGTTCAGCCAAAGTTTAAAGAAATTGCTATTGAGAGAATCATAGTGTACAATGAAATATGAAATACAATGGACAAATCACTTTTCTAAAAGTTTTTCTTAAAAATATCATTATGTACACACTGACCAAAGACAATGAGCCAAAGCTGTGATGAAAAAGTAACATTGCAGTCAATCATAGACAAAACCAGTCTCCAGTTTTTAAGAAAATAATGCAAAATTTTTTGTTATATTTTTTATATTTTGTGATAACTGTACCCTTATATATAACTTCCAATACACAAAAAAGGGAAGCCTAAAAGTCGCTATTATCTGTTACACACCCCAAATATTTTACAGTTTGTTCTTTATACTCAGAATTTCGCAAGCTAATCTACATTACTATTGTTTACCTTGCCTAAACGCTTAGCAAATAACATTACTGAAATTAATACTGTACTATAGTTTAATAGCCACTTGATATTTGTCATTTCTATTTTCTATACTTCCTAGTGTAACTTGATACTTGACAAAAATCAACACTTGATTGTTTTTTACCAGCTAATGTAATTAGACTCAATGATCAGCTTTGAATTTCCTGAAGTGTAAGGATATTGAAAGACTAGGTTGTAAAGCATGAAAAGCACACATAAGCTATCACTTATGGCCTTCATCTTTATACATTTGTCCAATTGAAGATTGGCTCTCTAAAAAATATGGACCAATTGCAGTGAGTTTTACAAGTAAACAAGCATAAAGACCAATCACCAAGATTAACAATAATATGTAGGTTTAGTAAATGACAACATTTGCAGATTGTAGAAACAGTAGTTGATCAAAGAATAAGCAAACAGTGCCATTGTCATGATGCTGTTTTCACAGGTACCAGTACGTACACAAGTAGATGAAGAAGTCTTAATTTAGTGTTTATAAAATATTCTAAATATAAAAGTATTTATTTCCTAACAACATTTTGTTCTTCCTTGTTCTTGTTTGTGGATATCAACTCCTTTGGGTTCTGCATCTCTTCCTGGTGTCTGAAATAATCATATGATAAATATTCAGTTTTTAGATGTATTTAACTTAATTTAATGTTACAAACATAGGCTTGCGGCAAGTCTGGCAAGCAAAGCCCATCAGCAGCTTGATAAAGAGCTAAATGTGAACTGTAAAACAAACTGTAGAGTGAGCATGAGCCAAAAAAGTGAAAAAACGCGATACCAGAGTTTTATGCGATATCTCTCAAGAAAATCATCGGATCCTCACCAAATTCAATAGTGCACATCTTCATAATGATATTGACACACATACAAAAGAACAAAAGAATCCATAGAGAATTGTAGCCTGTAGAGTGAGCACGAGTCTAAAGATATATACGCCCACCAGCAGCTTTGATTTTGAATAAAAATATTCAGCAGTACAGTAATAATCACCAGTATGAAATATTCAACCTTCAGTCAAACACTTCTTTGGAACTCTTTAGGGTGATACTGAATAATATTATAAGAACAAGAGCAATAACTCATACTAAATATTTTGCGATTTTTCTGATTTTCAATAGGGTTTATCCATGGGTGATAACCAACACTCACACCAAGTTTCGTCAAAATCCATCAAGAATTGTGCCTTCTAGAGTGTTTACAAGCTAAAATTGAACGCGTTTTCAAGAACAAGGGCAATAACTCATACTAATTATTTTTCGATCTTGCTGATTTTAAATAGGCTTTATCCTTGGGTGATAACAAACATTTACACCAAGTTTCATCAAAATCCGTCATGAATTGCACCTTCTAGAGTGTTTACGAGCGTTTCAAGAACAAGGGCAATAACTCATACTAAATATTTTTTCGATTTTTCTGATTTTTTCTGATTTTCAATAGGGTTCATCCTTGGGTGATTACAACCAACCATACCAAGTTTCTTCGAAATCAGTCAAGAATTGTGCCTTGTAGAGTGTTTACGAGCAATTGTGGACGGACGGACATGGGTGAAGGCAATATACGCCCCCATTTCATGTGGGAGTATATAAAGTGAAAAAAAAAACGAACGCGATATCAGAGTTTTATGCAATATCTCTGAAGAAAATCATAGGATCATCACCAAATTGAATAGTGCACATCTTCATAATGATATTGACACACATACAAAAGATCAAAAGAATGTATGGAGAATCGTAGCCTGTGGAGTGAGCACGAGTCAAAAAGTAAAGAAAAACAAACGCGAAATCAGTTTTATGAGATATCTTTGAAGAAAATCATTGGATCATCACCAAATTCAATAGTGCACATCTTCATAATAATATTGACACACATACAAAAGATCAAAAGAATCTATTGAGAATTGAAGCCTTTAGAGTGAGCACGAGGTTTAAAATGTGAACGGACGGACCGACGGACCGATAGGGGCAACCACAATATACAGTATAAAAATATTCTCCAGGCATATACAGTAGTATAAACATCAAATCCCGAAACTATCTAATGGCAATCTTCAACTACCCAAGTTTAACATCAGCGCTTGTTTTATTTAACATTGTACACATCTTACCTTATTTAATATGGCTTGTGCCAACTCCATAAAACCTTTTTCAACATTTATATTAGCTTTCGCACTGGTTTCTAAGAAGGGTATACCATGTTCTATAGCAATCTACAATTGAGAGTTTGAGTATTATTGCAACATTTGTGGAGTATGAACTTGCCACATATAAATAAATATCAGTTGATAGTGTCCATTTATCAAACATTCAGAAAAGTTAATGTACAAATATTAACACAACTTTCAGTACTTCGATCTCCTAAGATGGTTGAATTCATGTATCTTAATTTTAGGCATGTCCAGAAATGTCTAAATGAAGCATGCAAGCCATACAACCACAACAAGAGAGACAAGCTATCTTACCGCATTCCCTCTCTCTTTCGGTACTTGTCTTTTATCTTCCATGTCACATTTATTACCTAGTATCATTTTTTCAACATCTTCATTTGCATGCTGAAAGAAAAAAAAAACATTGCAACAAAATCAATAGTAATTGGTTATTTGGTATTATTATCCCAAACTATAGCTTTAATTTAATGTGTGGAGCTGAAAGGGATTGAAAAGAGGTATTCTAGCCTTTTATATGTAAGGGGACACCTTTGATTTCTATTTGGGACATTCCAATTCTTAGTCTAATGCCTGTGGTTCCTCAGTTTATTTCTTAATAAGGTGATTAATGTGATAACATATGACTTATTCCATACCTCGTCTATATTCCGTAGCCATTTTGATATATTCTCAAATGATTTGGCATTCGTTATATCATAAACTAGCATTATACCCATTGCACCTCTGTAATATGATGTTGTAATAGTGTGAAACCTTTCTTGACCAGCTGTGTCCCTGAAATGAACAAAATCAAAAAATTTATTGATACACATAACTATCTTCACAGAGAACTGTGTTTATGTGCACTATAAAACATCTTGACTACTATTTGATGTGGGATCATACTTAGTTAAATTATTAAAAGTTGAGTCATTTATACTTATATTTGCACCATTCTGATTAAATTTGAACTGTTTCTTAAACATATTCAAAATAACTCAATTGAGTTCAATGGTAATTATAATGCCTCATAATTTGAGATGTCTATTTACACATCCTGTCATAGGCATTGTTTGTTTGCCACAATACATCTTTGTGCAGCTGAAACTATTACTATATGTACCAGTACTCAATAAGTAAATACATGTAATAACTTTACAAACCACAAAAGTTGATTTTGGCTAACAATGCAGAAATATCATTTAAATTTTTTTTTTTTTTTTGGTACAAAAATTTAAATCAAAAAAAAGTTTCTCTCCACTGGTAGTCAAATTTGAAATTAAACTCTATTGTTTTCTTTAGGTAAATATGACACAAAATCAATGAAATGATGAAAATGAACCAGACAAAACAAGCAGTTTGACATTACACATCAAATTGTCCATGGAACATTTCTATCTAAAATCAAATGTATGGAATAAATTAATGGATCGATATTCATTGACAACCTTATGATAAAACAATCTAATGTAATTTATTCCATTCACTTACCATATCTGTAATTTGATTTTCTTTCCACCTAATTCTACTGTTTTTATTTTAAAATCAATACCTGAAATAAGAAAACCAGGACCATTAGAAGTCTAGGAAAACTCACAATGATAGTCACCATTTGGTCAAACATAGTAGAAGTAAATCAGCACTTAAAAAGATAGCTTGCCAGGCAAAGTAACATATGCCCACTACCAGCTGTCAGAAATGATAAATCCTTGGTGGCTTGATAATGAATTTTCAAGTAATCTTAAAATCATCTATAAGTCAAGGCAAAAGCCTGAAACAGTTCATCAAATTATCATCAAACAAGTCTCATTGCTGTACACACAAGGATAACAACTCTGAAACTGTTCATCCAATTATTACCAAAGTCAAGGGCAATAACTCTGAAACAATTCATCTGATTATTACCAATTTCGAACTTGACGGAGATCTCATCAATATATTATATGCATACCAAGTTTCATCAAGATCAGATAAAACCTGTAGTCTCTATCGTGCCTACAAGCCATATTTGACACGTTTATAATAAGTCAAGGGCAATAACTCTCAAACCGTTCATCCGATTATCACCAATTTCGAACATGACTGAGATCTCATCAATATATACATGCAAACGAAGTTTCATCAAGATTAGAAAAAACTGTATTTATTCTCTATCATGCCTAGAAGTCAAATTTGACATGTTTTTATTAAGTCGAGGGCAATAACTCTGAAACCATTCATCTGAGTATTACCAATTTCGAACTTGACCAAGGTCTCATGAATATATACATGGTATACCAAGTTTCATCAGGATTGTTTAAAAACTGTAGCCTCTATCGCGCCCGCGTCTACAAGGAATGTGGACTGACAGACGGACGGACCAACGGCGACAGCAATATACGTCCACATTTCCATGTGGGCGTATAATGAAGAATATTCATCTTTAACTTATCTTATCTTGCATTTAAAGGTTTTTTCAATGAGTTTTTGCAGTCTTCATCGTGAAATACATAGTTCTTCAAGCCAACACGTAGAAGAAGATGCCCTTTAACTTTCGTGAAAGTTTCAACATGAAAAACCCAATTGTTATGTCACAATCGATAAAATAATTTTTAACGGTTACGTTAGTATTTCATTTTGCTGTTCTGGAAAATAGCGACTACCCTATTATGAGCATGTTATTTTTAGATATCAGTGATTATCAGAACTCAATTTTGATTGGACCAATTGAACCAATCAGCAATAACTATACATATTTCCGTCCGGAAGACACGGTAGAAAATAAAAGTAGCGATCAACTTCGTTATTTTCATTACTCATTATTGTGATTTTGTGAATTTTGCTATAATGATATCAATCCATAATTTACATGTAACAACCGGAGAGGTACACAAACGATTTTTATATTTCTGATGGAAAAACTCATTGCCATTTGTAAACTTGTAAATTTGTAAAAATCTTTTGCGAATGTCTGTAGTCTCCGAATTCTCTTCCCAGACGCCAAGAAGCCATTCATGAGAAAACACTGGCCTCGTATCAATTACAATATCAATTACAATACATCAAATTTGATGTTTTCAACGATTCCTCAGCGGCCAGGTATATTTATAGAAACTATATAAAAGGTTTCATATGTTCATCAGTCTCATTAATCATAAAAGCATTTTAGGTCGAAAAATATTTTTGCCTAAATCAACCAAAATCTGTAGAAATGTACCCCATAACGTATCTGAAAGTTTTAACTAAAAAAATCCAGCTATTAATTTTTGAACACCAAATCTTTACATAAAAGGTTATGTTACCTTTTAAAGTTTGTTATGCTTTTTGCAAGCTGTTAGAAAAGTACTGTATGGATTTAAAATAAAATAAAATAAACGCTTAATTGTAGAGAAATATGTCTCCTACGTTTTCTAAAGATTTCAAGTAAATATAACAAGCTGTTATAGCCCCAATCACCGAAACTAGGTCAAACTGCTTAAATAACAATTAGTACTCTCAGTTTTTAATTAACCCTTTTTTAAAACAAATTCAGTTTGATAAAGAGGAGACAGATATTGTAGCATACTGTAGAAATATTTTCAGGCTGATTTAAGATGTTTTTGATAATGAAAATGTTTTACAAAAACAACGGAATGCCCCTTTAAATCTATAATTGTCCAGCTCATTGTGTAAGCTTATAGACATATAAAAAGAGCATAAATTCTATTAAAAGATAAATAAATATATTCTAAATTAAGTATCTATGTACGTATGTTTAAGCTTACAGATTTAAATAGGAATTAAGTAGGTCAATAAAAATCAGCTGATACATAACAACATATTTGGGAATATTAGTCATACAATGTTACTGATAAACGACTATAAGAAACTATTTTAAAATGTCAAAATATTCTGATATGCATAGCTCATTTGAGAATTTACCAAATACCTTTTTACAAAAAAACATATAGATCTAAATGACTACTGTCTGACCACATTGAACTATGAATTGAATTTTTTCTCTCATACATAAATATTCAAAATAAAATTTTAAACTTTATGCAATTTGTCTTACTTTCCTTTCAAAAATTCATGAGACAATCGTTTGATTTTTGGACTGAAAATTCCTCTAAGCTTATAAAAATTATGTTTACACTTTTCCAGTGGTTGACATTTTCAGAATACCAGTTAAAACGGTAACATGTCAAAACGGTAACAATTTTTTTTTAATAGTCAAAACGGTAACAGATCTGCCAAAACGATAACAAGATATTTAGGTTAAAACGGTAACAGATCTGCCAAAACAGTAACAAGAAATTTGGTTAAAACGGTAACAGATCTGCCAAAACGATAACACAATAATATGATTTATCATTAATATAATCAGTAAGCTTATACAGTGTATATGTGATATCCGACATCTGAGTATTCCAACATTCCCCGTAATCCGACATCATTTTCTAGTCCCAATTGATTTTCTTCTTAGGCTAGTTTAAAAAAAACTCTGAGTACTCCGACACTCTGTGTATTCCGAATTACGACACTTAGAAAAATCTGTATAATCCGACATCTATTCATCTTAATCACTTATCGTCAATTAAATAATCGCTTATTTTATTGATAATCCGGATCAAATCACATGAAAACAAAAGATGGCTGAAGTAAATTCTGCTTATTAATCTATGCAACTTGACCAATCTTTGTTACGCATTTTTTCAAAATTCTCAAGCTAACAATTTTCATCCAACAAAGCGTGCCCGTACTGATGTGTCTCTGGATATTGAACAGCAAATTATCGGAAATTATGAAAAAGTGCTGCGCTCTTCGCAGAAATATTTAGCTATGAAATTTGGTTTAAGTCAAACAACAATAAGCAGTATTTTTAAACGTAAGGAAGAATTAGTTAAAAAGTTTGCTGACAATATTAATTCCAATAAAAAACATATGTACAGTTGCTCAAAATATGAACATTTAAGTAATAGTAACATATAAAACTGAATTGTCTTTTATTATTGTCTTATTATTAGAAAGGTACTGTAAAATGTGGGTCACTGGGATATAAAAAGTAACACATTCACATGTTAAAAAATGTCTAAGCTTTGAGTACTCTGACACTCTCGCTAATCCGACATTATTTTAATGTTTATAGATACTGTTAGCTTGGTATGTAGGTAGATTTCTTTTAATCAACAATCGAGAGTACCAATTATGACCAAAAAGTCGTGAGCTTGATTTCTAATCAATAATTGCTTCGATAATATTTAAAATGTTTTCATAACTTGGATTGAAGGTGAGAATTTGTTGTCGAGTTGAGTTGTTTTCGAGTATGAGTTATTATGAATAAATTTTATTTTGTTACCGTTTTAACCATTTGAAATATCTTGTTACCATTTGTTCAGATCTTTTACCGTTTTAACTAAGTTTGTGTTCACTGTTTTGGTAGATCTGTAACCGTTTTGACTATCAAAATTTGTTACCATTTTAACTGGATACCCATTTTCATCAACCCAAAAAAGACAATCGAAGACTCTTTGCAGCATTTTGTAACTGTTATTCCAATTCATATGAAAATTATTGCCAAAATTCAATTCAGAAAACAGTGTAAGAAAGAAACTGAAAGGAGAAGTCTAGGTCTAGATAGAAATTCAACAACAGAAAGTTTGGCTATCAATTTCGATTCTTTTCGTTTTTTTCTCGTTATTATGGCGAGAGTCATGAAAATTTCATGACAAATACTTACCTATTGTGGAGATAAATGTAGTATTAAATGCATCATCTGAAAATCTGAAAAGCAGACACGTCTTTCCAACTCCGGAGTCACCGATTAATAAAAGTTTGAATAAAAGATCGTATGTTTTTTTCGCCATTCTGTCTGTCTGTTCAGTTGTGTCAAATGCAATATGGCGACTGTAGGGAAACTTGTCACCGAAATAATATGGATTTCTAGGTTGGCTTGCCTTAGTGATCCGCACTGAAACTATTTGTTGAAGTCTTAACTATATCACAACTTTGTTATTAGCCTGATTAATTAACTAATCACTTTTTATAGCTTTATGAGTCAATATATCACACTGTGGACATCCACAAATTACTTCTGCGACTTATTTACGTCATTTCCTTTTCCGGTAAACATTAACGTAAAATGGGAAGTAACTCCGTTATGGTTATGCTTAATTCTGACCACTTTCAATCTGAATTTATAATTATTTAACTTTTGCAAAATTATCTGCAAAGGTTGATCATAGCAACAGAAATATCTTTGATCGACTAAACCCAGAAAGATTTATAGAAGGAGTACTTATTGAAATCGATATTTATTTGAAACATTGAGCTAGTTTCGATGCACTAGAGAGTCAGGACCACAAGGTTTTCACCTACCCGAAGTTTATCGTGAATATGCACCACATGTCGACTGAAAATTCTCTTCTGTAAATAAAAATAATTAGTTTTGCATGTGGTATTTTGCTCATGGATTAATGTCTCAACCCAATATTGGTCGGTTAGTATACACAATTCTTTACGGATTTTGACGAAACTTGTTGTAAGTGTTTGTAATCAGCATTGCCATCGGTGAACTCTATTGAAAATCAGAAAAATCGTTTTCAGCCCATAACAATTCTGAAAATAATAATTTTCTGACTTATTTTGGAAACTTTGCCACGACAGTAGTATTAGGCTATAGCCTGCTCTTTTTTAATTTCCAACTGTCGAGGGATCTTTAACGTGCATAGCCTCGGTTTATGGTCATGAATATCCAAACGACTAGACGCTTTTTCCATGTCAGCCCCTCTAACCTCCGGGTGGAACAATCCGAAGGTATTATTTCGATTTATGCCGGGATTAAGGTTAGCGAGCAAGCGTCTAATTCACTGGGCCACAGCACCTCCCTTCCAGTGGGCGTATATTACCTAGCCTGGCAAGCCATCTTTTTAAATGTGCCCACATCTCATGCTTATTGTCCACTGGCAGCTTTGATTCTAAATAAAAAATTTGGGCTGCATAGTAACAATCAGCCGTATGAAATATTCAACCTGCAGTCAAATACCTTTTTTGCACTCTTTGGGCTGAACAATATTACCACGTTTTGTCAAAATTCCGACAAGAATCGAGCCTTTAAGTGTTTACAAGCTAGAAATTGAAGGCGTTTTCAAGATTGAGGTCAATAACTCATATAAAATAGTTCTCAATTTTTGTATTTTCAGGAGGGTTCATGAATGGGTAATTACAAATACTCAAACCAAGTTTCACCAAATTTCGTTAAAAAACTGTCGAGAAGTGTGCCTTCTAGAGTGTTTACTAGCCTAACTCATACTAAATTTCGGATAGGGTTCCCCCTTGGGTGATTAGGCTACAAACACTCAAACCAAGTTTTGTCAAAAGAATTGTGCCTTCTAGAGTGTTTACGCGTTTTCAAGAACAAGGGCAATAACTCTTTAAATATTTTTCAATTTTTTCGATTTTGGATAAGGTTCATCCTTGGGTGATTACAAACAATCATACCAACCAAGTTTCGTCAAAATCTGTTAGGAATTGTGCTTTCGAGTGTTTACGAGCGATTGTGGACAGATGGACCGACCGACATAATTGCCGAACAGCAAAACTCATTATTTTGAAGGAATATGTGTTACATTCTTTCGAAATCAATTCCTTATGGTTTTTTGAATTTCTTAAATAATCTAATTAAAATGAACAATCTCCCCCAAAATTGTGTATTGTTCACGATGAATGAAAAAAAAAGGCGAGAAAGAGAAGGAAAAAGGCGAGGAAAAAGGCGAGAAAGCGAGGAAGGAGACGAGGAAAAAGGCGAGAAAGCGAGAGTAAAGATGGCGAGAAGTCCAGAAAGCGAGGAAAAACCCTCGCTTTCTCGCCCTTTTCACGCCTTTTCCTCGCTTGAATCTCGTCGAGAGTAGATAATGGCCACAGCCGGCTTCCATAAATATCCCCATCCCAAACACAGCTTTGGAAATATTGTGGAGCTAGTCAGTTAACGGTAATTTACTACGCGCTTTGAGTTTCATTATAATACCTGCGACCACTGGTGTTAAATTGGAACAATCATGTTTAATAGTAAGATTTGTGTCAAATCCCATTCCCTAGATTAGACTGTCTTAGAGATTCATTCCAAATTCCGGGCTACATCGGGTTTTCAGAATGTATAGGCCTATAGATTTCTCCCTGCTTTATCCCACCAAATTTTGATTTGGATATCAATGATGATTGTAACTATTAATTTATTGTCATTCCCAGATTTCTGACAGCCTTTGGCCGAATTTAAGGCCCGATTTTTAGGTCTTTTCTGACCCAATTTGGAGAATTCGGAATTTTACACCCACTGTGGTTATCACCTTTGCTGTAGACAGCAATATTATAGCGAATATCACATTTATATGTTATATTTTTCAAACAAAATTTCCTTTTGGTCAAACTATAAGAATTTGCCCCAGATGTTACGTCCCTGGTGGATGCATCGGTCGTGACACATTGTGATCAGCTTCCGCCTTAAGTTGATAGTAGGCTAATCGGTGAATAAACATGCTTGCCAGTCAAACTGAGACCGTCTATATAATATAAGGTTTATGTTAGCCTGGATGATCATTTAAAGTTCGTCATGCTTGCCACCAACACCATTTTCAATAACGAAGTCACGGTCACTGATAACGTTTGTATGAACAATATGATGTACATCTTGAATTTCAAATTTTTCAGATTCGATATCTAGAACTTCAGACATCTCTACATATTCTTTTTTATCAGAAAAATTAACACCGGGTAACTTAGGTCGAAACCTCTTGTTGATTTGAACTAAAAACTTCAACAAGTTTGGATACGAAAGATCCCCATGTGCACTCTTCATGTATTGAATAGCATTATATTGTGGATCCTCTATATTGTCACTTTCAGTAGTTAGTACCATGACTGTTGGAATATCTATATACACATCTTCTAATCCAAGTTGTTTCAAATCGCTGGTGCTAGGATTAATCATGTGCCCAAAATTGAAAAACGTCTCCAGTTTCATTGCCATAACTTTATAAATTGGATCAATTTCTTTTATTTCTGAAAAAAAAGCAGAAAATTTGCATCATTCGTTGAGACATATATGATATAGGTATTGGCACTTAGAGCGATAGAGCAATTTCAACTTACTGTACCCGAAATTCAGGCGTTCGGTTGTAACAGCAATAAACAAAAGTGATGAAAGTGTCAATTTCTATGTCGGACTTATCCGAAAAAAAGAACGACTTTGACCAAACAAAGGCCTAATCTACATGGAAGGTGCTTTGACTGTGTTGTAACTTCCTTCAATGCGTTTAAACAGATACTAGTTTCATAAGTATTTTGGATAGTATTACGATGTTTCTCCAACAGATATAAAACTGGTTTGTACACCCACTTGATTTCTAATCTAAAATCTAAGATAGCTTACCATGAGAGGTAATATACGCCCACTGGCAGCTTTGATTTTAAATAAAAAATATTTGGTAGTACAGTAACAAACCAGTATGAAATATTCAACCTTCAGTCCTACACTTCTTTTGAACTTTTTGAGGGGATACTGAATAATATTACAAAGTTTCGTCAAAATCTGTCAAGAATTGGGCATTCTAGAATGTTGCTAAAACTTGAACGCGTTTTTAAGAACAAGGGCGATAACTCAGATTGAATATCTTCCGATTCTTCTTATTTTTGATAGGGTTCATCCTTGGTTGATAACAAACATAACTAAATATTTTTCGATTTGTCTAGTTTTCGATAGGGTTTAACACTCACACAAAGTTTCGTCATAATCAAGAATTGGGCCTTCTAGGATGTTTAAGTGATAAAAATTGAACGCGTTTTTAAGAACAAGAGCAATAACTCATACTAATTATTTTTCGATGTTTCTGATTTTCAATAGGGTTCATCCTTGTGTGATTAATAACACTCACACCAAGTTTTATCTAAATCCGCCAGGAATTGTGCCTTCTGGAAGGTTTACGAGCTAAAAATGAGCCTTTCAAGAACAAGGGTAATAACTCATAATTATATTTTCCGATTTTTCTGATTTTCGATAGGGTTCATCCTAGGGTGATAAAACACATTTACACCAAGTTTCGTCAAAATCTGTCAATAATTGAACCTTCTAGAGTGTTTAAAAGCTCAAATTGAACGCGTTTTCAAGAACAAGGGCGATAACTCATACTAATTCTATTTAGATTTTTTGTATTTTCAATAGGGATCATCCTTGGAAGATAGCAAACACTCACACCAAGTTTCATGAAAATCCGCCAAGAATTGCACCTTCTAGGATGTTTACGAGCATTGAAAGAACAAGGGCAATAACTAATACTAAATATTTTTCTATTTTTCTGATTTTCAACAGGGTTCATACATGGGTGATTTGGTGATTTGTGCATTCAAGACAATTATGGACGAACGGACCGACGGACATGATGACAATATACGACCCCCATTTCATGTGGGCGTATAAAAATTTGGAATAACTCTCATAGACGCTCTTTGGGAAGCATGTGCCTTGACGCTTCTACTTTGAACTTTGAAATCTCAAGCTCGACAATCTTTGCCCTCACTCCCCCCCCCCCCCCCCTCCACTAAGTCAGCCTGACCTCTATTGTACCCCTAATCTCGGGAGGCTGGCCCGGCCACTGTTACTTTACCTGTGAAAATTATAACAGGAAATCTAGAAGGGGTTGACATAAGACAGTCAACAATAAAATCTTCTATTCCCATATTCTTTACATCCAAGATGTAATTTGGTATAGATTTTAACGCTGTTGTTTTTGCTTCGTTCGGATTTGATGTTTCAATCATATACTGTTCCTTGCTTGATCTGGAACCATATGGGTATACACGGGCTTCCTTGCCATCTTTTATATTATATTCCTGAAAAGGTAAGAAATTTATTAAATATTTAACTAGAATGTTTAACAATTAGTCTACTATGTAAAAGAGTGTTTCCACTTTGACTAAGGTCAGCGCTTTCAATACAATTTAATTAAACTTCTATGGGCAGAGCAAAATTATCATCCTCATGAATAACTAAAGTTCGTTTGTAGAAATAACAATTTAACACGCTAAAGATAGCTTGCTAGGCAAGGTAATATACGCCCACTAGCAGCTTTGATTTTGAATAAAAATATTTAGCAGTACAGTAACAATCACCAGTATGAAATATTCAACCTTCAGTCATACACGTCTTTTGAACTCTTTAGCGCAATAATGAATAATATTGAGTATGAGTTATTGCCCTTGTTCTTGAAAACGTGTTCAATTTTTAGCTCGTGAAAACTGTAGAAGTCAAATATTCAATCTTCTGAATAATAATTCTTCTGATTTTCAATAGGGTTCATCCTTGGGTGATTACGAACATTCACCCCAAGTTTAATCTAGAGTGATTACAAGCTAAAAATTGAACGCGTTTTCAAGAACAAGGGCAATAACTTATACTAAATATTTTTCGATTCTTCTGATTTTCGATGGGGTTCATCCTTGGGTGATAACGAACACTCGTGCCAAGTTTCGTTAAAATCCATCAAGAATTGTCCCTTCTAGAATGTTTACGAGCTAAAAATTGAACGCGTTTTCAAGAACAAGGGCAATAACTTATACTAAATATTTTTCGATTCTTCTGATTTTCAATAGGGTTCATCGTTGGATGATTACAAACACTCATACCAAGTTTTGTCAAAATCCGTCAAGAATTGTGTCTTGTAGAGTGTTTTTGTAGAGTGTTTACGAGCAATTGTGGACTGACCGACGGACGGACATGGGTGACGGAAATGTATACGCCCCCCCCCCCTCCCCCCATTTCATGTGGGCGTATAAAAATAACATAATACAGAAATATTAGGTATACAGTCGAGTAACCTAATTTCGTGGAAACCTATTATTCGTGGATTTCCGGAAAGGATTAATAATTTACATGTGCGACCTCGCGTGACCTCCGCATTTGCTTGTTTTGATAAACATGGGTTTTCTCTACAATATCAGCAATATATATATACAATATAGTAGAATGAATCCATTAGTTTAATCCAAGGTACAATGTATTAATGTATACTTTGACAAATACAAAATGGCGGATTTCACTTATTACCAAACGTCACCATTTTTTATCGGCCGAATTTCCTTATAATCCCAAGCGGTAATTGGAATTCCAAGTGTCGTCTGCTAGAATATATTCCAACGAATGAAGTCACGTGATCAACTAGCGGATTCTGTGTCAGCAGAAAATTTCTATGGAACAAAGTGGACCATATTCTTATGTTGTTTCAGTGACTTTTAGCAATAAATCAAATAATAATTTGATTTTGTCAGTAACTATTTTTTTTTTATCGTGGTTCTTTGAAGGAATTGTCACTAGTTATAATGAATTGATATTATAGATGAATACTAAGAGAAGTTAATTATACCACCCGGTATCCATACAACGTGTTTTTCTAGACTTATTTATAGATCAAACATTGTACACGAAAATAGGTGACGCTTGTTGCCGCTGTTGGTTGCTCATGAAATGTGGGTCAAAGTGAAGGATTCATAAAGAAAATCGAAATAAACCAATTTTAATTATTTTGTAGACTATCTGAGGAAATATCTAAGACATAAAAAAAAAAAATTCGTTTTTTTATCTTTGACGAAATTCGGTGTTGAATCCTTATATCCACGAAAATAGGTTAAACCACTGTATAAATTATGGGATCTATGTTTAGTAGTACATGTACATTTACACCACATGATACGTTTATAACGTGGAAACATGAGTATAAAATGTACTTACAAGTTTTCCTATTAGTTCAGGTTGTTCGTTTATATCCACCATACCAAATGATATAACTCCTCGAACACCTACGGCCATGGTCTTCCATCCTCTTTTTATCGTTCCAGAGTGAAATAACACTACCCAAGCATCCTCAGATTTTAAAACTTTTTGAGTAAAATTCTTTTGAGTTAGGGGGAATATATCTTTAAAACTTTCGTGTTTTTCAAATCGTTCACTTCTTTCGCTAGATTGAGTGTTTATCACACTTATTTGACATACAGCCGTTAACACACAGAGTTTTAACCACATATTTAAATTTCTTAGACCACTATATTAAACCAAACCAAGGTACATCGGCCCTGTACGAATGTCCGATCTATAATTCAAATATATCACTAACAAACCGGTATTTTCACAACAAAGTACCTTTCAATACCGGAACTAAAATTGTGAGACACTCTGTTTACCCTGTACATGTCTCAACAAAATATATGTCACTTTTGTGTATTTATAGCTTTAAGCCATCCGTGTCAACCCTTGAATTATTAATAGGGCCTATCTGTTGACATGGACAGACTAGCGTGTTGACTAGAAATAATCTATGATATATTTATATTTACAAGCAGACGATATATGTACATAATAATACCAACTCTCTGATATAAAAAAAAAATTTTTCAAATTTCGGCATCCCACTGTCTGAAAATATTCTGCCTAACAGCATGCAAATTTGAATGTCATATTCCTACACGTGACCGGAGATTAATTCTTCAATTTGCTTGATGATTGCTTTTAACGTTCAAAATTACAATTTTGTTTTTTACACTGTTTTCCATAGAAATTTAAATTAAAAAAAAATATATTTTTTAAGCATTTAAGACCCCTAAACGGCGTTTAAATATCAAATTTGAATATGCCATAATATTAGCGTAACATTTAGCTTCTGTAAAATAATTGGTTGACAAAAAAAGTCTAACTAGTCTAATCAAAATTAATAAGCAGAATATATTGGAATGTTGAATCAAGTAGCTAGGCCTATTAAGAAATCTTCCAACTGTATAGCATTACATAAACCTAGGTCTACTTTCACGTGGTGACAGGTGGAGTTGTTTCACGAAGTCGATCTTGGGTTAGAAATCATTGATATTATTAAGGCTACCAAATAGCCTTTACATGGTTTTGTGTAAAGAAGAACTGAGCACAAGAACATGCCATAACGGGAGTATGTTTCGGACTATTTAATGAAACTGTTATCAGCCAATTAGAATCTGTACAAATCGTTTCTCCGGACCAAATAAATACAACTTTCATTTCAACTTCCGGCAAGCACGTGTTATTTTGTAAACATATTTGTAAGATTTTATTATTATTTGACCGATATGGCCAAAAAGAACAGCAAAATACCAAAACCTTCAAAGGTGAAGGGGAAGGTATCAAACAGAATAAACAATGCAACTCACAGTATGAACCCAGGTAATGAATTCAACTTTCAAATGACAGCTTCAGTAAACTGATTTTCAACATACAATACTGTGATGTAACCTGTATTCGTGCATATAAGGATTAAACCTCAAATTTCTTCAAAGATAAAAAAACGCAATTTTTTTGATGTTTTAGAAGTTTCCTCAGATATTCTACAAAATAAATAAAGTTGGTTTGTTTCGATTTTCTTTATGAATCCCTCACTTTGACCCATATTGCATGAGCAACCAACTCGACGATGGCTTCAAAATGCTCCACCTATTTTCGTGTACAATGTTTGATCATTATATAAGTCGAGAAAAACACGTTGTATGCATACCCAGTGGTATAATCATCAGGTCTTATTATTATCTTTATTATCAATTCATATAAACTGGTGACAATTCCTTGAAAGAACCGCGATTTAAAAAAAATAGTGACTGACAAAATAAGATATGTAAAACGTAAGAGTGATTTATTGCTGAAAGTCATTGAAACAACATAAAAATACCACCCACATTGTGTTCCTTAGAATTTTTCTGCTGACACGGAATCTGCAGTTTTATCACGTGACATCGTTCATTGGACTACATTCTAGCAGACGACACTTGGAATTCTGATTACAGCTTGGGATTATAATATAAGGAAATTCGGCTGATAAGAATTTGTAACATTTGGTAATAACTGAAATACGCCATTTTGTATTCGTCAAAGTATACGTTAATACATTTTACCTTCCTTGGAACTACTGGATTCATTCTTCTAGCTGCTATTGTAGAGATAACCCACGTTTATCAAACCAAGCAAATGCGGAGGTCACACAAGGTTGCACATGTCAATTATTAATCATTTTCGGAGATGCATGAAAAATTAGGTTACATGACTGTACTTACATTCTCATTATAATAGTACATACATAGCAATAAATTTGATATAAAATAATTTTCAGGCTAATTCATTAGAATTTCCATTGACCCGAAGACATTCTAAGACAAATGGCTTAAAGTAGAAAAATTTTATTTTGAATATTTATGAAATGAGAGAAAAAATTCAATTCAAAGCTGAATGTAGTCAGAGAGAAGCTATTAAAGTCACAGCAGTATGGATCTATCTATATATGTATGTGCTAGTCTACTGGCTCGTCAAGATGACTTGAAGCTCCTAGACTCCTGGAACTAGGGACACAAACAAGGGACAGATTGACTTAATGAGGTTTGTGAAGAAATCTGAAGTTGAAGTTCATTTTTAAATATAACAAATTTTACAGTAGTAAATTGTCAACAATTTATTGACATTATGTAATAGTATCTCGAATCTTTGAAGATATGGTTTTATCTAAGATTACCAGTCAACTCGTCTACATGTTAACTCGTTGACAAAATTTTGTTGGTTAACTCGTCTACAAAAATTCTACACGAATTGATCAAGGCCTGTTGATCCCTAACAAATTTTGATTGAAACCTTTAACTAATTACGTACTTTGTTGACAAGTTAACTGATGACGAGTCGATATGAAGATGACTTGACCAATCACCTTATCTAATATAGCGATCCTTTTGTATAACTGGTAATGCCCAGCACTTATTTGACATTATTCCAATTTACACTTAGTCTACATGATATTACTAGAGAAAAACTTATTTTCGTAAATTGTACATTATGTCTTTATTGTTACAGATAGACCTGTTAAAGGTAAAGGACAAGGTGGTGGTAATGTACGATCTAGAGCTACTATACAGCGACTGCGTATGTACAAACATTTCAAACCTGTCAGGTAATTATTCACTTTATATTACAATTTCCACTGTCATTGATGGAACTAAATTACTGAAATGGATTGAATTGTCTAATAATTGATAGAGGAAGGCTTAATTTTTTGCAGTCCATAGAACTTTTCTGTAGTTTCTACTTCCAGGCAGTATGACTACTGGTATTATGATTATGAATGTGGAAATGAAACAGAAGATGGATAGGCTAGGATGAACTATTTTTCTTGGTTACTGCATTGAAAATTATAACTAATTGTCTAATGAATAATGTGTAGGTAAAATTTTGACGCCTAATATATATTGAGCAAATTGAATTAAAATATTTGTCTATCCTAAAATCTAGAGATAAAAATGGTAAAATTATAAGATCAGCTCCATTTCAATCAGTATTGGCATCTGGTACTGTAGCTAGAGTAGAACCTGATAGAAGATGGTTTGGTAAGTACATGGCATAGTTGGTATATCAAGGTTGTTGAAAAATGCAAAAATTCCCCGTCGTTGAACAATGTGTTGTGTAAATGATCTTTATTAGCCCAATCCCAGAAAAAGGAAAGAGCTCATATCTTCTTTGATTTCCTTTCTATCCACTATTTTCTCTATAATGATTTAGAAATTAAGTATGCAACTGTATTTATTGTCATTGACTTACAAAACTGCAGAAACTACTTAATTTCAGGAAATACAAAAGTTGTATCTCAAAATGCACTACAAGGTTTCCAGGAAGAAATGGCTAAAGTTAAGAAAGATCCATACAAAGTTGTTATGAAACCATCTACATTGCCTGTCACTTTGTTGAATGAAGTTGCCAAGGTAAGCAATTTCATAAATCTTAAAAGAGAGGGTGTTTACCATTATTAATATAACCCACTGCCAACAACTGGATTTAAGTGCTCAGGTTTGCACTTGAATGTAGAAAATAAGCAATATATGGAAGTAACATCAAGTTTTCAATTATCGGTGCACTTAGGTCTTATAAGTGCCTACAAGTGATCAGATGCAAAAATTTCTAGTAGTCTTCTGAATCTGTTGTTCTGAACATAGACATAAATTAAAGAAATTCAAAAAGATAAACAACTACCCTATTCAAGTCTTAATCCGAGATCAGAGCGTCTGAATTCAAAAGTTTGGGTCTGAAGCTCAAAACTGCAAAAAACACGTCATTAATTTTTTTTTTCAGTACAAGAGAGTTCATCTTTTAGATACAGAAACATTTGAAAACACATTTGGAAAGAAATCACACAGAAAACGACCTAGCATTAAAACTGGTGATCTAGAGGTAAAAAATTAACAAACAACTAGTTAGGAACTAGTATTGAAGTTTGTAGATTGTATGGCAATGACAAATTGTGAATTTGTTTCTTTTGAAATCCTGACATAGCACTGAAAATTGTTCGAAAAAAAGGTATTTTTATACGCCCACATGAAATAGGGAGCGTATATTGCCGTCACCCATGTCCGTTCAATTTTTAGCTCGTAAACAATCTAGAAGGCACAATTCTTGACGGATTTTGATGAAACTTGGGCCAACCTTAAAAATATCTTTGTTGCGGATTTCAAGGGATTAAGTCTTTTACCAGGCAGGTTAGAAATAATTTGTTTTCATCAAGTTAGCCACCAGGAAATTTCTTGAACCTTTTCTCGTCACAACTGTAAAAAACCCTTGTTGGGATTTCGTAACCATTATAGATTAACCAGGCAGGAGAAATTTTTTTTTGCTTTTCTATGTGCAGATGACCCACATGAAATCATCCGAAAAAGGAATTGTCACTAATATAATGAATTGATATTAAAGATAATACTAAGAGAAGTTAATTATACCACCCAGTATCCATACGTGTTTTTCTCGACTTATTTATAGATCAAACATTGTACACGAAAATAGGACACATTCTGATCTCAATAATCTTTTCGTCGACATCCACGACCATATGTGATGTTGATGAGAGACGTGACGAACGCATGAGGACGGCATTTCATTAGAAACTTCAACCAACAAACCTGTCAATCCCGATGTGTTATGGCTCTCCGTAGCAAGCGTGTAATCGTTCACTAACTTGTCGAACATTCCTCTCAATGACTGGTGCAGTTCAAAACGGCAGAGTGTCTTGTGGTCGCTGCTGTCATCAGATATTCTGGCTTTGACCGCGACGCTGAACAACTTATTGCTTGTCAAATTTGCCATCACCGCTTGCAAGCTTTTTCACTTCCTCCCTCATGTTTTCAGTGGCCTTGACCAGATGGGGAAGGCACTGTGTTATCGAACGGGCGCCGTGCAAATGAGACTTCCAGTATTCCCATCCTTGTCCAATCAAAACGCGCTTAACTGTTATCAGTCATAATGAGATAAACGACGGAGTTCGAATGGGATATTCAGCGTGGTAAACACTGGTCAAAGATTACAATAAAATTATAAGAAATGGTCATAATGAGATAAACGACTGAGTTCGAATGGCATATTCAGCGTGGTAAACACCGGTCATAGATTACAAGAAAATTATAAGAAATGGTCATAATTTGGCAGTAGCGATACACGCTGGATTTATAGTCTGTACAGAAATAGGTGGACTTTTTTTACGTTCTCCGTTCTCATGCAGGGGATACGTACGCATAATATTTTTATACTCCCACATGAAATGGGGGGCGTATATTGCCGTCAACGTAATTCTTTAGTTCAATTTTAGCTCATAAACACTCTAGAAGGCACAATTCTTGATGGATTTTGATGAAACTTGTTGTGAGTGTTGGTAATCACCCAAAGATAAACCCTATCAAAAATCAGAAAAATTGAAAAATATTTAGTATTAGTTATTGCCCTTGTTCTTGAAAACGCGTTCATTTTTTAGTTTGTAAACACTCTAGAAGGCACAATTCTTGACGGATTTTGACAAAACTTGTCATGAGTGTTGGTTATCGCCCAAGGATAAACCCTATCGAAAATCAGAGAAATCGAAAAATATTTAGTATGAGTTATTGCCCTTGTTCTTGAAAACGCGTTCAAATTTTGCTTGTAAACACTCTAGTAGGTACAATTCTTGACGGATTTTAACGAAATGTGGCTTGAGTGTTGGTTATCACCCAAGGATGAACCCTATTGAAAATCAGAAGAATCTAAAATTATTGAGTATGAGTTATTGCCCTTATTCTTGAAAACTCGTTCAATTTTTAGCTTGTAAACTTTCTAGAATGTACAATATAGAATGACAGATTTTAACGAAATTTGGCTTGAGTGTTTGTTAACACCCAAGGATAAAGCCTATTGAAAATCAGAAAAACTCCCACACGGCACTTTTTACTTTATTACAAAACGACCCGACCGAGAAATTCGCAACAAAGATATTTTTAAGGTTGGCCTTGGTTTGAATGTTCATTATCACCCAAGGATAAACCCTATTGAAAATCAGAAAAATACAAAAAAATGTAGTATGAGTTATTGCCGTTGTTCTTGAAAACGTGTTTAATTTTTAGCTCTTAAACACTGTGGAAGGCACAATACACAACGGATTTTGATGAAACTTGGTGTGAGTGTTCATAATCACCCAAGGATGAAACCTATTGAAAATCAGAACAAAGCTGCCATTGGGCGTATATTACCTTGCCTGGCAAGCTATCTTTCTTTGTTAGAGAAGAAATGTTTCTTGATAAGACCTCAACCTTGAAATGACATCTAATAGTATTTAACTGGTTATTGAGACATATCAATGATCCAGCCACTATGATTTGGCTTAATGTCAATTATCATCTTCCCAGGTCATGGTTAATAAAGCAGAAGAATCAGGAGAGAAATATGATAGTAATAAAGATAAAGATTTAGTTATTGAAGATGATGGAATGAGAAAAGAAGCATTAGAAATGATATTTAAAGCAGGGAGATCTAAAAGAGTTTGGGGTGAACTGTATAAGGTATGGTTATTGTAGCATACCATTTTATGTTTACAATATTCAGAAATATCTGAAACATATATACGGTTTGCATGCAAAATAATAATTTTAAATGAAGTTTAAAGGGGAATAATTATGTTAAAGGTCACATTGTAGATAGAAAAGGTATCATCTCATAGATTAAAATTTTTATTCAAGAATATATTTGAATTTTATTGCTACCAACGTAAGATCTATCTGTTAGGGCTGTCGGAAATAATCGATATATCGATGTATTGCGATACACCTTGAAGCAATATATCGATACTGCTCTGCGTGTATCGATATTGAGGATTTTTTTACTCTACTTTCACTTTTCATGTGCCAGACCCTAGTTGTGGTTGTCGTAATATTTACATCTTCAAAATTGGTGTTGTTATTGCTATAAATAAAACATAAACGCGTAATTATCGTTGTTAAATTTTCTTCCATTTTAAACTAAGCTAAATTTACTAAATAATACGTTAGTTTTAGTTTTAATTATTTAAAATAATAAAATAAATAATGTCGAAATACGTTTTACGACAATAAAAAACTAGTCTATCTTAGGCAGCATGGCAAACCTCTGAAAAAATGTCAAATTTGGGAGGAATTTTGGTCAATAACAAAAAGGGAAAATCGGCTGTGTGGAAGAACTTTGGATTTAATAAAACTGAGGATGGAATAATACATCGCTATATGTAGAATATGTGCAATGGAAATAAAATTCTGCAATAACACTACTAACTTAACAACACATATGCGCAGACATTGATCCATCAAGAATGCCGTCTGAAAATGTGCCAAATAGTCAATTAGGTGGTGGGGATAGAGAACAATCACAACAGGATCAGGGAAATATCCACACCTTTCTTAGTAATAATAAAGTCATACAGCTTCCACCAAATTCCTAAAGAGCTAAAGAAATAACGAAAGCAATAGCCTAGGCCTACTTCATAATAAAAGATCTGACACCATTTGTTAAAAAGGATGGTATGCATAACATAACTTAAGTTGCTCACAGATTGGGAAAAAAAGCTGAAATATCAAATGAACGACGTTTCGCAATATATCGCAATACGTATCACAATACAGGGAGATGTATCGCAATATATCGCAGTACGATTTTCAGACGCAATACACAGCCCTACTATCTGTAAAAGCTACATTCATTCTCGTTCAGATTGACTTTGTAATTTTACTTCCATTTCAGGTAATAGATTCATCTGATGTTGTAGTACAAGTATTAGATGCTAGAGATCCACTGGGTACTAGATGTTATCAAGTAGAGAATTATATTAAAAAAGAAAAACAACATAAACATATTATATTTGTGTTGAATAAAGTAGATTTAGTACCTGTTTGGGTTACAGTAAGTAGTATTTTGATAAACCAATAGTAAAATTTGATACAGTAAGTAGTATTTTGATAAACCAATAGTAAAATTTGATACAGTAAGTAGTATTTTGATAAACCATAGTAAAATTTGATACACTAAGTAGTATTTTGATAAACCAATAGTAAAATTTGATACAGTAAGTAGTATTTTGATAAACCATAGTAAAATTTGATACACTAAGTAGTATTTTGATAAACCATAGTAAAATTTGATACTATTTTGATGAACCACAGTAAAATTTGAAAAAATAGAAATCTGTACATTCTGAATGTTGCATTCATCTTGCATTTCGCATTTCACTCTTTGTAAATTTGTCTAGTGCATTCCTTACCAGCATGATTTTTAAACATGAATTTTTTTTTCAGCAAAAATGGGTGGCCATTTTGTCTGCAGAACACCCAACAATGGCCTTTCATGCTAGTATTACAAATCCTTTTGGTAAAGGAGCTCTTATTAATTTACTTAGACAGTTTGGAAAGGTATGAAATTCATGCTTTTACTTTTTATTCAGTTGCTTTTTTTAGAAAATAATTGTGTTCTAATCGTACTGATAAGTTGTTTTGAGATCAATCTGTTTTGTTTTTACTTCTAGTTGCAGTCTTTTCCAACTTTATGGTTTTGTAAGCCATTAATTAAATGTAGTGTTTTCTGTTTTATATTTCTTGATCTTTTTATCTGAAGTACTTTTACTTATATCACTGCTTTACATTTTTCTTTTCTAGTTGCATGCAGACAGAAAACAAATAGCAGTAGGTTTTATAGGATATCCCAATGTTGGTAAAAGTTCTATTATTAATACATTAAGAGCTAAGAAAGTGTGTAAAGTAGCACCAATTGCTGGTGAGACCAAGGTAAGATCAACATAGCCTTATATCCATTGGTAAAAAAAAACCTTCTTTAGTAGAGAATTTTGAATGAATTTGATACAAACACTGGGCTCAATCTGTAGTTGTTATTCCAACTACAAGGAAATTGTCATTGAAGTATTCGTTCTACCAGTTATTAAAGTCAATTTCAGCTATCAGTGTAACTTTTCAAAACAAGAGCAACAAGTGATATTGATTAAGCTTTTCTTGGCATAAAAAAATATTGTTTATTTTATATAGGTATGGCAGTATATAACATTAATGAGAAGAATCTATTTGGTAGATTGTCCTGGTGTTGTATATCCATCTGGTTCAACACCTACAGATTGTATATTGAAAGGAGTGGTAAGTAATCATTTCAGTCCTCAAAACTACATTCAAATTGCTGCATTCAATGATGCATTCGCCTTGATATTGTGAAGATGCAATAAAGATAGAACATGTGTTCAGATGATTTCTTTTTATATGCCCACATGGAAATGTGGACATATCCTGCCGTCGCCCCTGTCCGTCAGTAAATTGGCCTACAGTTTTTATCTGATGTTGATGAAATTTGATGTGATCAATTATAATGATGAGGTCATGGTCAAGTTCGAATTTGAAGATTTTTGGATGATTTGTTTTTGAGTTATTACCCTTGACTTAGGAATAACATGTAAAAATTTGTTGGTGAACACAATAGAAACTACAGTTTTCAACTGATTTTAATGAAATTTTGTGTGATCTTTTATGATGATGAGATCTTTGTCAAGTTCGAAGTTGACGATCTTTGGATGAACGATTTTTTAGTTATTGCCCGTGACTTAGTAAAAACTCATCAAAATTTGTTGGCTTGTGAACGCGATAGAGGTTATAGTTTATGTCAAAATTTTATTACATTTTGTGTGTTTAAATGAACAATATCTTGCACAAATTAGAGTTTTGGTTCGACTTGACGCTGATTGGTGACCGCCCTTGATAAACTAAAAAGTGGGCATATCTTGCTAGAACACAATAGAGACTACAGTTTTAGAGAGTTTTAATAGAGACTGATTTTTTGATGAATGGTTTTTTAGTGATTGCCCTTGAAAAACTATGGCATTGAGATAGAGACTTGTGTTCATCTGATATAAATGAAATATGGTGTGATCGTTTATATTGATAATATCTTGGTCAAGTTCACTCTAATCAATTTTTATACGCCCACATGTAAGATGGGCGTATATTGTAATCGGTCCGTCCGTCCGTCCGTTCACATTTGGCTCGTGCTCACTCTAAGGCTACAGTTCTTTATGGATTCTTTTGATTTTTATTTTGTGTGTCAATGTCATTATGAAGATGATCCCTATTGATTTTCGCGATGATCGGATAATTTTTCACCGAAATATCATGTCTGACTTGACGTTTTTCTCTATTAGCTATATTGTGCAACTCGTGTTCACTCTACAGGCTACAATTTTTTACAGATTCTTTTGATTTTTATACGCCCAGACGTAAGATGGGCGTATATTGTAATCACCCCGTCCGTCCGTCCGTTCACATTTGGCTTGTGCTCACTCTACAGGCTACAGTTCTTTATGGATTCTTTTGATTTTCATTTTGTGTGTCAATGTCATTATGAAGATGATCCCTATTGATTTTCGTGATGATCGGAAAACTTTTCACCGAAATATCGTGTCTGACTTGACGTTTTTCTCTATTAGCTATATTGTGCAACTCGTGCTCACTCTACAGGCTACAATTTTTTACAGATTCTTTTGATTTTTATTTTGTGTGTCAATGTCATTATGAAGATGATCCCTATTGATTTTCGTGATGATCGGATAATTTTTCACCGAAATATCGTGTCTGACTTGACGTTTTACTCTATTAGCTATATTGTGCAACTCCTGCTCACTCTACAGGCTACAATTGTTTACAGATTCTTTTGATTTTTATTTTGTATGTCTATGTCGTTATGAAGATGATCCCTATTGATTTTCATGATGATCGGATAATTTTTCACCGAAATATCATGTCTGACTTGACGTTTCACTCTATTAGCTATATTGTGCAACCCTGTAGTCACTAAAGACTGTTTAATCATTTCTGACAGCTGCCAGTGGGCGTATGTTACCTTGCCTGGCAAGCTATCTTTTGTTCTTGACATTAGGGATGAGTGATTTAATAATTTGATTTTTAAAAAGTTTGTGGAATTACTCAGTGTAAATAACTGGCAGTTAATATATATATCATTAAATTCAAACTAATAAAATTTCTTTAATATGAGAAAATTCATACTTTAGTCACTAAAGACTGTTTTATCATTTCTGACAACTGCCAGTGGGCGTATGTTACCTTGCCTGGCAAGCTATCTTTTGTTTCAGGTTAGAGTGGAATATGTCAAAGCACCAGAAGATTATATACCAGCTCTTCTTAAAAGAGTTAAAAAAGAGTATATGTGTAAAACATATAAGATAGAAGATTGGAAGGATTCAGAAGACTTGTTGGAACAAATTGCTAGAAAGTCTGGAAAGTTGCTAAAGGTATTTATTTATTCATTATTATTAGTGTACCGATTGAATCAGTTCTCAAACAAGCAAAACACATACAGAAATATAACTGCTGGTCATTTAGGTTGAAGTATGCTTATATTGTGTCCTAACTTCTATAGTGATAAGTAGCACATCATATCTTAACTGTTATTTTTGAAGGAGGAAACTTCCCTGAAATTTCCCTCATGGCATTGCCCATCTTCTTTAGCCAAATAAACAGAAAAAAGTTGGCTGTATCTCTAACTCCTTCAGTACATTTGATGTTGAGTTTTCCTTATTTGATTGCTTACAGAAAGGTGATCCTGATTTACCAACTGTAGCCAAAATGATATTAAATGATTGGCAAAGAGGCAAAATACCATATTTTGTTAGACCACCAGAATCAGAGGTAGGAAATATTATAGATTACTCCAATCATTCATAATGGCTTTATGTGTGATATTGTAAAGTTTTAAACTAGGCTTTAAAGCAGTAAACTACACTATTTCACCTGCATGCTAAAAAAATAATAAACTAGAAAAATAATTTCTAAATCTAGACATTTATGTTTTCTTCATAGAATCCACCACCTAAGACCAACAAAGATCCACTGCCAACTGACCAGAAGAATCTGGTTGAATCTGGGGTTGAGAATAAAGAAAATTCCAAAGGAAAGAAAACTGTAAACAATCCTACAGAAGAAGACATTTCTGATTCATTGTCCAAGAAAAAAGTAGAGATGCCAACCATTAAACAGAATCTGAAAAACATCCATGTGGAGGCTGAATTTCTTGAAGAAGATGTTGAGCAGATTGAGTCTTTGGATGATGATGATGATAATGGTGATGAATGGGCAGATTTGGAAGAAGCTTCAGATCTCTCAGATGATGATGGAGTATGGCAAGATGTTGACCAATCCACAGAAATACTGGATGATGGGGATAAAGATTCAGCAGACACCACTTTAAATGAGTCATTTGAAGACAGTGATGAAGATGGTTCTGATGACAAAGATGAAGGAGACCTAACTAAACCTCTTTATAAGAAGCCTGTTTTAAATGCTTTGAAGAAGAAATTGCACCAAGCTCAGCTGAGTAAAGGCATCACGTCTACTAGCGTTGTGCAACCCAATAGTAGGTCTAGATCACGTAAAAACAAACATCCTCCAATCATTCCTAAAGAGGATCAGCCAGATTTTAATAGTGACTTTATTGCTTTCAATCCAAACAAACCTATGAAAAAACCTAAAAAGGACAAAGATGTATTCAGTAAGATTTCTATGAAAGATGTGTCTGTAGAGAAAGAAAAATTAATTGACTTGAAGTCTAAATCTGGTGTTAAAACAAGTGACACAAAAACTAAGAATGAAACTAAAAAGACAGCTAGTGGTAAAATGATAGTAACATCAAATAACGAAGTTGGTACATCAAGTGGTAGTCAAATTATTCCAGGTAAATATAACTTTTATTTATCATTGTTTAGATGTGTTGACTTGTATGTATTTATTTATCATGTAAATGTAAGTTTGCTCCAAATATATTGGCTAAGGCTTCCATTGGTCTGATGCATCTGAATTCCAAGTAAACTTGTGCATGTAGCTCACTGTTTTATGCTGACTATTTTCAGAGCCAGCTGAAGTATTTGAAGTAGATAAGAAATGTGCAAGAAAAGTACAGACAACTCAGCCTAGTATAAAACAACAGAAAAAATCACCTTGTCAGAAAAGAAAACATCAACAAGATCAAGATACTGAGGAAGAACCCAGTCCTAAATTAACTAGCAAACAGGTTGGTTTCTATTTTATTGAGATTATTTCGTGGAACAGAGTAGAATTTCTCAAATTGCATAGCAGAAGTTCTGTTAATGATTAGCTTTGCATTTTCAAGATTTACACAAAACAGTTGATGTTGTATTTGAAATCAAATGTTACAAATTTGTTGCAAATCTCTTATCAGTACATTTATTTGTAAAATCTCTTTTATTTAATGTTTTCATTGAATATCGATTATTTAGTAACAGTAGGTCATGAGACAAGCTAGTTCTAACCTAAGTCTGTGGTTTTTTGCAGCAGTGTACAACGTTTATGATGTTTGCATGTGTTAAACTTCCTACACAGTTGCATGAAGAACATGGTGGTTGAGATATTTCAAAGCTGTCTTACCAACTCTGTGACACATTTCTTTTTTCTATTTGCAGAGAAGAAGAAGGGAAAAGGCTGATAAACAAAATAAAATTGGTGTGCATTATTATCTGTCTGCTAATGTTAAAAACAGAAGTAATAGACGCAGACAATAAGTTGGTAAAATAACAGAAAAGTTTTTGTTTTGTTAGTGTATAATATTGTGATTTAATAAAACTTATACATAGATTTAAAGCCTGTTTGTGTACACAACCCATGCTAAATCATGCATCTATTATTGGGAATGGGATTTTTTTTTTTATTGTTGATGGATATTTTACATGCACAACCTAAGGATAACAGGACATATTTTATTCCCATAACATAACTCTTTTCCATTTTATCTTTATCAGTGACAGGGGATCTCTGGATTGGCACACAAATCTATTCATTTTGAAATGGCTTCAAATAAACTATTTGAAATTTGCAAATTTCTCCCAAAAACATACAAACAAATTCATTTCTGACATTTCATCATATTGAATAATTTATTATCTTTCAAACAATTCATCATTAATATACAACACAACAGATATATTCTAGTCAGGAATGGTCATTTATAACACCAGATACACCATAGATAGTTTGATTTATCACAATAACCTTTGTGTTCAGCTAAATCAGTTTTTATTTCATAAGAACACCTCTAATTTGAACTTATTGATGCAAGAGCAGTAAATGTCTAACTCTTCTGCATTCACAAATGACAGAATTTAAAATACAAAATAACATCACATATATTTCCAAATAACAGTGCCCATAATATTGATTTTAATTTTCATTTGACGTTTATTTATTTCAATGACAATTATTCACATTCATTCTTCCACCATATCTCACAAAATCAGGAAATGAATACTGTTTAGCAGACTTCAACGATATTGCTAATTTAAAGCTTCTAGCAAATTGGTTTAAAAAAAGAAATTGATAGAGAATTGTTGTATATTTTGGCATTATAAAGAGAACAGGACAATGTAGGTGGAGACATGACATTTTAATGTTCTAATTCTCGAACATTGAACATTTACGTGCTGTAAACCGTAGATTGTGTTAAAAAAATTTTTACCAGGTTACATCACTATTGCACTACACTAAATTTACAAGAACTAAGAAATGGTCCCATTAAACATAAACTACGAAAAAATTTATAAAAAGAAAACTAACTTGAGCATTATTAATGTTAAATTTTGAACACAAGGCAAATAAAACAGAAATTGCAAGTTTCGCAATAATTAGTTTTAAACTTTGTTTTAATACATACAGAATATAATGAAATACATACAGAATAAAATGACCTATCAGTTATATATAAATAGTATTATAATTCGTCCGATAATTTATGCCCATAATCAGTGGCTGAACCCACAAAATCATCATAATGCTCTAAAATTTCAGCCAGGGTTAGTTCATTATTTTTGTTATCATCAGCTTGTGATATTAAGTGAAGAACTTCATCTTCTGCAGCCTGGTTGTTATCTTGTATGACCCAGGCTCGCACTTCATCTTGGCTTAGTTTACCATTACCATCTAGATCAAAACTATTAAAATTTTCTTCTTCTGTTAAATATACTTCTCTATCTTCTACTTCTAAAGAAAGAAAAACCACCAGATGTTTATTACATGGTGACTTAAAAACAAGTTAATAATAAATTTTGATTTTTTATTTAAATTTTGGATGATTCCAGAAATATTACAGCGTACAAATTTTGCTAAACAAGATCTTGTTTGTCATTTTAGTTAGTAGTTTTCAGTGATAACTTCATGTGTGGTTGAACCTATCTTAACAGATAGAATTATATATCACTGAACATAACCTTCTATGTGCCACACACATGAAAAACTTGTGTATGTATACAGTATACATTACTGGATTATAGATACATAAATATCCCATATATTCATTTCTTCTAGTGTGTAGCGATAATCCCGCCCAGACCACACATTCAGTTTCCAAAGTATCAAACCCCAAAGTATCAAACCCAAAACCCATACCAAACATGTCAACTTTGAATGGAAGATCCTTCGTTTAAAATAAAAAAACACGGAACAACAAACCTCCTATAAATTCTGCTTTGGAAACCTGATTATCTTTATTTTTATCATGCGTTCTTAAAGCTCTTTCAATTTCAACACCATGCATATGAGGATATTCATTAGGATGGTAATATGCACGGAATTCCTGTTTTTCTAGATTACCATTATTATCAGTATCAGCAGTCATAAATCTCTTCTCTTCTTCATCCAACATCTACAGTCAAAAATTATGTCAACCATAAATTTCAGAAAGGGAACATCAGTGTTTCTTTTAGAATTATCATATCTTTCAGCGAGCAAATATTTGTGAGTTTGGCATCATTGATATATTATAACAAAACTCTTTAACATAATAATTTATCATAAGTCTAGAATTTTGAATTGAGCAATGCCATACTTAAAACAAAATTGATAATAAGATTTTTGGTGGAACAGGGTACTACAAGTCATTTTTCTCATGTAATGTAAATGTAGGCTATAATGTTATCAACAAAGTTTAAATGCATCCTATAAACAAAATAGCTACTGCTGGACATAAACCAGAAAGTCACAATTATAATGGCTCATGGACATATACAGGTATGTCTTGCAACAATATAGAAAACATGGATTAGAAGAAATATTTCATTTCCCACCAGTAAAAATTCTTTAGTATCTGGTTCTTGTTTATCAGTGTTTTTCTTAAAATCTTCAATATCTTCTAAATCATAACCAAACTCTTTTTTCACTAATTCTCTCCATGAGACATTACCATTTCCATCCACATCATTTTCTTGAAATTTCTCATCTGATTCTTCTTCATCCAAACTCCTAAATTTAAGATAGTGGACCACAGTCATATATGTCCTTCACGGCATACGGATGGTAAAAACGAAACATCCATTTTAAGTTTCATCAAAATCGGTTGAAAACTAAGAGAGTAATAGCATATTCAAGAAAATAGCTCAAATTCGAACTTGACCTACGTTTTATGAATATGTATACACATACCGAATTTCATTTGATTCCATCAAGTTTTTAGAGCGTTTACAAGCAATATACGTCCACATAGAGAAATGTGGGCGTATGAAAATAGTATGTTGGATAAGTTAAGATCAGGCTATAATTGTTACAGGTTACAGCCAAGGAACTTCTCCGATTAACCATGGAAAATGCTATTATGCCATAACTAAAGTTTATCCGGACATTTTCATTCCCAAATAAATATAAGAATACAATAATGTATAATATGATGAAATCATTCGAAATAAATATCAAAATAGAAATATTTTATAATAAATATCTAAATAAAATATTTGTTTAAGTTAAAAAATGATACCAAAAGTGTTGATAACCAAGGTGATTTGAAATTTACCTCCATTCAGACTTGCTCTCCTGATCATAGCTTTTATACCCAAAACAGCACAAGGTGAGCTCTGGTTTTCAAATAAATAGATCAATTTTTTATCATTATGTGTGCTTAAGAGCAACTTTACTGTTGGAATTACCAGCATGATATGTTAATTATTATTTATGTCATTTTAGGTATATCAAACAATGTTCAATTTTATCATAAAATTTTACTTACATGTAAGAAGCTAATATCCATTTTTTCAGTTCGTCATGTGTGATTATGTTATCTGCATTTAAATCATGATGTTTCACTAAGTTTTCTAATCTTTGAATGGCTTCTGCTGGAGGCAATTCATCAAATTCATGTTCTAATTGTTTGGATCCTGTCAAGAAAGTGGGATATTATCAGTTTGAAGAACATCTCATTTATTTTCATAAAAATCTTACTTTTATAGTAATTTTTATTCTTACTTATTAAAAGTTTGCCAAGAACTTGTCTGTTTAGCGAGGAAAAATGGCAAAAAATTCTGTTGGCCTTTCAAGATACCTTACGTAACTGATTAATCAAAACTGAGTATTACAGGTTATAGAATTAAATTCCTACCTATAACAGCTTCATGATCATAATGTGGATTATGTTCACCATCTTTTGTGTGTTTTTGATCAACTGGTTCATTTGGTACTTTTTCTTTTTCTCCAAGTGTACAATATACACCAAGACATAATATCAATATATTATAATACACGTTCATCTTTACTAAAATATAATATAACACCAATTTAAAGCAATAATATTAAGTTGGTCTTAAAAATGACTGAAAGATAACAAATTATTCTTTAAAGCTTCTGACCGGCAACTAACTGAAAGAAACAACCATTTTTACATTTGTTTGAGGTAACAAAATGATTTCAGATTCTAATACTATAACCAACTGTGCTATAGCCATTCCAATTCAGCTGGTGAATCATTAAAAGATTATGACCTGGACCTAAAAAAATATGTTAAAGTTTTCTCACACTACAAAACATTTACTTGTTAAAAATTTTATTTTTTCAACACAACATTTTTGTAAGATTTTTTTATAAACAAAAACATTTCCTTACCTTTTCAAATATTCCTAAAATTTATTCTTAAGTGTGAAATATTTTTTTAAGATTTGAAGAGAGTCAATTATAACTACATGCGCCTACGTTGTGAGAGTTAAATAGCTATTGATTTTATAACAACCACTATAATTCTACAAAAGATATTTTAATTCAAGACACCAGATGGCCGTATGGAAAATTAACTAATTCCCCTGCCAAAAGTGAGTTAGTCTACGTGTTTGTTTGTAGTGATTTCATCGAACAACATATGTGTCAAAATATTAAGTCAATAAGACTCTATACATACTCGTTCTAATAGTTATATAGATAGATTGAATTGATTTTTTACTGTAATGGTCTTTAGTATAATAATTCCAAGACATTATTAATGGAGTTTCTTTAAAATTGTCTCTTTGTAATATACAAATTTTGGACACATTATTGAAGAAATTCATCTTTAAATATACATGAAATAACAAGTAAACGCCGCAAAAGGCAAACAATATTTATTTGGAGAAACATTCAAGACTACTTCACAATAAATTTAAAAAAACAGCCCGAAATTAATTTTATTCCAAATAACAATGAGACTTCAGGGCACCTATATTTACCCAAAATTTCATCATTTAAAAAAAGGGTTAGTTCTGAAATTCTTTAAAGATATATTTTTTATGCAGTAAAAAGATATGATTTCATTATTTCACTCAAAAGACTATTTTTTTTTTTTAATGCCTCTTGGCAAAATTTGATCAACTAATGTGATTTAAAAAAACGCGTAATTGCCATCCTGAAGCAATGATAGCAAGAAAAAAAAAATTAAATGTTATAAGTATAATATTTATGTAAATATTACCAAGAAATGATATTTTTTAAATAATATTAATGATATCTGTTGTAGGTATACAGGTAGCTGTTTTGATATTTCGGGTAGCTCAGTAAAAAAATTTCTTTTCAATGATATTTATCAAGTATGAAGCGAAGTCTATAATATTTTTTACATCATATTTAAATAGTTATGGCATATTTCACCAAATTACAGCTTATGGGCACAGTGATTCTGAAATAGAAATTTTGAAATTTCCTCGTCAAAAATTTCAATGCCGAAAATTATCATTGCCATTTGATTCACTTAACATTGATGATAATAGTAGTCAAGGTGACCACAATTTTCAGCATAAGATTCCTGTAAACACTTTTCAAAGAAAAAATTGCTTTTAGATTAAGAAATTTGGAGTAATTCATATAACACTACAAATGACTGCCGTCAACCATCTCCCCATTGCCATGCAATGGATTACAGTGTGTGGGACTCTAGCCAAAAATTTTGACAATGGGAGATCAGCTGTCTTCAAAGAAGAGGAACTCAAGGACAGAAGACAAAAAAAAAATGACATAGGGATTCGCATCTCTCTGGTTGGTTGTATATTGTCCATGATCATGTCCAGGATGATTCAAAAGAATCTTCAATTTAAAAAGGCTTGGCTTTACAGTGATGATGTCCTTAGAACGGCCTGCAATCTTAGATTGTCCTCATTTGCACCAATACATATTTATCACAATTAGAAAACCTGATTATCAGATTTTTCTTCTGAGAAGTGATAGTATCAGCTAAAATCTATACCACTGTAGCCTATAGTCTAGGGCAGGGGTGAATGGGACAGTATTATGAGGGTGTAATTTTGTGAGTGCGCCAAATTTTTTATATAGAAATGCACACACAGATTCCAAATTAGTAACAATTATCTTAGATTCTGTTCCTGCATCATCTCTTCGAAACATTTATTACACTGACTGGCTCATGACAATAGCGTATAATAAGCAATATCTATCTGTAATGCTTATTGAGCATCTAATAAGAGTTAATGTGCACTTACATTTAATAACAGTTAATTACACCAGATTTGACTAGGTCTTATACAATTGGAATATAACAGTAATATTGACGATATCGATACAAAATAGTACAATGTACCGTTATTGTGGCAGGCAGACAGCTGAAAGAAAACAGTAGACTCGATTATCAAACAGTAAATGTTGGAACAATAAAGCCGCCCGATTAACCAAGTAGCAATTTAAGAAATCTGGACAAATTTTGATTGGTAGAGGTATAGAGATTTAACCTATTGTTATTTCACACCTGATAATGCCCACCTTTAGCCACGTTCATTTATATTTACAGGTTAAAGTGCAAATTTTAGTTTTGACTATTTAAAGTCGGAAATAGATTAGGCCTACTTTTGTTAACCTTATTAGACCTAAAGTCACAGTATTATTTGTCTTAAGCTTACAGATTTATGTATCCAAAATATTATTCAAGGAAATCTTTTCCTTGGCCCATAGTTTGACATTTGTGTCACTTACCCTACTTAAAGATGAATAACAGTAACTCTTCTGCCTTTTCTTCTTCACATTTCTTTAAATTCAATATTAAAAAAAAATCATCCAATTACCGAATGGGTACATGTATGGTTTCTCGAGCAAACTTTGAACTCATGTCTATCAATGATCCATTCAGAAGCCCATTTTCAAATTAGAAACTAAAGAGGAACAAGGATACCTGAAATTTTTTTTTGATAATGCCCTTTTGAGGCACAGGCTTATTTGGCTGTGGTCTGATGTCAAAATGAAAACATAAAGTCGGTTGCCTCCCTTTATATGCGTAATTCAACTTCCGGCTGGCTGTCGCTGAAAAGTTAAAGTAACAACAAGACTTTATGAATTTCAATATTTTTGTCATTAGTAGAATATCTATAGGTAATCATAATGAGAATCGTGTGAGAATATCAAAACCTAGCTATGGGTCAAGCCTTCCTTATTCCAATTTATGTATTTGTCTATGTTTGTCTTTGATCTTTTCCACATTATCTTAACTTTTAAGTAAGGTGCTTTAGCCCAGTGCTTCTAATCTTGATTAGACTGAGTGCTTCTAAACAGGGAAAGGAATTTCGTCCAAAGGGAGGAATTGAAAGACCATGGGAAGGAATTATTGTCCTGGGATGAAATCTGAAGGAATGGCAAACCGGGAAGGAAATGGAAGGCAAGGTGATTTACTAAGTACTGAAATTGAGTAATTGTCGTGATTCACCCCAATTACAAAAAATCAAATTGTACTATCTCTATATATGGAATATGAATTGATATCCATTCATGGTTAATAGTTGAATACATTTTTCGAGTCAAATACATTTCAAAGTGACTGATTTATTTTGGGGAGGAATAGATTTGGAATAACGGCGGGAAGGAATTATCTCATTAAGGTTGAGAAGCACTACCCTAGCCCACTGTTATTCTGTTTTTTAGGATGGGTCACCTGAAAAATGACAATTAGTGATTGAGATAATCAGATTTTGATGTTTTACGTTGTAGGTGAATCATGTCTGAGGAAGATAGTAAGTCCTGTGAAGGAAGCCTAGATATAGATGATGATGAAATGAAACCTAACTTACATTTGGATGTCCAACAACCAGTAGGAGTATCACAATTAGTTAATTCACCTACTACAGATACGTTAGATTCTGTTATTCTTGAAAACCCTATTACAGATGGTAATCATAGATATTCATGCTCTGTATCATAACTACTTTCTGACTGTTTTCTGAATTGAATATCATATTTATATCAACTGAAATATCAACCAAAATATACTACTGAGACTCTCAGAGAGTCTTAGATTGTCTTTGGGTTGATGAAAACGTTAACCAGTGGAAAAGGTATTATTTGTATTTATGATTTTATAGAGGAGAAATGGCTGACAAATAGGTCATTTTCACGTAATACTTTTGGAGGGAAGTGTGTCTATTTAAAATGTAAAATCACTGAACCTTATATTTCTATGGACCCAAAGACATTCTAAACAAATGGTATACAGTTGAAGATTTTATTTAGAATATATGAATTGAGAGACAAATTTCAATTCAAGGCTTAATGTAGTCAGAGAGTACTTCAAGATTTCTTGAAATCAGGATTGTGATGATCCAAATTACTTTAAAATTGCCATCTCAAAACCTGTCCATTCCGTTGTTTTAGCGCATCTTAGATGTACATTTAGATTTTGTAGTTAGGCTCCTAGCTGTTTCTGATGATTATTTTCTTTCGGATTTCAGATGCCAAATCTGAAGATGGTTTAGAGGAAGAAATCAAATTAGATGCATCTGAAATGGAAGATTCACAAAAGACTGAAAATACAGATCTGAGTAGTTATTTTGGTGAGGTGAATGTTAAAGATGATGCATTTCCAGACATAAGTGAATCTGTGTCTGAACAACTAGGAGCAGATTCTGCAGAAAGGGCAGGTAATCCAGTAGATCTAGAGAATGATAAGCATGCAGAAACAGCTTCGACTAACATCAGTAGTTACTTCTCTTCTGATCCTTCCTCATCTGGTGCAGATTTCTTTGATACTATATCTTCTCCTGAGCTGGAAACTCAACCACTGGCCAGTTCTAAAGTAGTTGTTCCAAATGTTGGTAATAACTCAAATATGGTAGGAAATAATAGCATGGTCCAACAAACATTAGTTAGCAAAGAACAAGGTAGGATTTAAATTTCATTTGAATTCAATGATTTATCATCTTATAAAATTTATAAAAAATGGACTGTTGTGTGTATGTATGTGCATGCTCAGTAGTTGCTCGTTCCTTTTTTACAAGCTGATGAACAGATCACTCAGGTATAATAGAATGCTAACTGGGTGGGTTATTATGATCATAATGATTATAGCCCATGAAATATCTTTTACATTCCTTGCATGTAGTAAGACTTTGAAAATAATTATAAAAATTTTTGATTGTTTAATTGTCAAAGCTGACATACTTTTAGCTGAAACAGTGGAATTTGAAGGTGAGACTGGTATCCAAGGTGATTTACCAGTAACAGAAATGCAAGCAGATGATGACTTTGAATCTTTTACAGCTGAGAACTCAGAAGGTACTGGATGTTTCATTAGCATTTAAATCATTTTCAATGTAAACCTGCTTAAAAAGAATTCATCAATTTTTTTTCAAGAAATTTTCTTCATTTTAGTTTGTTTGAACTTGCTGTCTTTTTACTTTTCAGTTATTGTTGGAAGTGCACCTCTGGAAACACCAAATATTCCTACTCCAACAGATTTATCACCCTTGACTACACCTGTACATCAGCCGGTTTTGGACCCTCTGAAAACATTTATATCTTCTGGTGTAGAGAGGCAGACGTCACATCCACCTATTCCAACAGAACAACCATCTTCTACACCTCCTAGTCCTTTTCATCAATTTCAGGTAATTTTTTTCTTGAAAAACTGGAAAAGAATATATAAAGCAATCTACGTCTTGTCGACTTTGTACAAGAATTGTGTTTGTGTCTTGTCTACCTGACTTTCGGATGCAATGGAAGTGATAGTCATTCGCATGTTTAAATTTCCTTGTTGGTTATATATTGAATTTCAGAAAAGCAACTAGCGGTCATGCAAATAATAGGTATTGACATTAAATTACATGGTTTGTTTTAGAACAGTTCTCAGAGAATTGTTCATTTTCATTTCAGACCCCATCAGTTCCTTCTGTATTTGATAATTTTGGTGATGGTAATATAACAGATGATCCATTTACTGCTGGTTTATGTATGAGTGATAGTGACAGACGGCATGATGCTTGGATTCCATCTGATGCTACACGCCATATTTTAATCAGTATGACCAGTAGTGTACCAGGAACCTACATGCCTGCTGTAGAACAACTCTGTTCACCTTCTGTACTGAGAATTGACCCACAGGTATGAGTTATTCTGTATCATAATGCCTTTTGAAATTTATAAATGTAAACTAAACACCAAATGTTTTTTTGATATACATTTTATTTCTATTTTCAAAGGAGAGATGAGAATGATGTAAACAGAGAGTCAATCAGTCAATCATTTAAAGTACTAAAACATATTTCCTATTTATTTCTTATGGCCCATTATTATCATAGGGAGACCCTGTACGTGATTTAGTATTGAAATACATGGGTGAACAAGAAGCAGTAAAGAGACAAGTTTTAACTGCAGATTCTGTATCCAGAGATGAAAATGGTTTGGCACAATTAGTGGTAAGTATAGATAGTTGTTTGCCCATATTGTGATCAGGTCAGGCAAAGATTTTGCTCTTATTCACTATTAACTATCTTTAGGTTCTTCTGATTTTACAAGAAATTGTTATTACATCATTTGCCTTCTAGAAATCTTACGTTTATCCCTATAGTCCTTTTGTGAAAAAATATATCTATTTCTAGGCTGCGGGCTGTTTGAGAGCTGGAGTAGATTTAACTGGATTTCTTTTAGCAGACGTAGGACAAGGTCATGGTCAACAAGAGGCAGGAACCATAACTCAACATTCACCTAAAACCTTACAGGTAGGAATATTTCTATTAGCAGATGCCTAAAGCTACACATGTTCAAGATTTTTTCCTTATATCAATAACAATATTTTTTCACAATGCAATGTTTTTTTTTGTTTATTTTTCTCTTTGGTTTATTTTAGCTATGGTTTTGTCGTTTTGCTTTATTAATGAGATTAAGATTATTTGAGATATTAGATTCAGAAATGAGAGCCTTCAATTCAATGGATTCCCCAGATTTATATTTTGAATTCTACCCTCAACTTTATCCTGGCAGGCGGGGTTAGTAGCAATTTATATTTCATATATTTCTCATCCCGACGACACACATATCTCTCAGTCTGTTCCTTCACATTGCCTCATGAACACTTTAAAATGTACAGTCTTTAACAGAATTTGAAAAATGTTGATGTGATCCTTTATCTTCTTTTGGTTCATTGAAATTTTAGAGTACTGTATGGCTTCAGTAAAAGGTAGCATTGCCTAACAGCAATTTATATTTCATAACTGTGTAAAATTAATGTATACATCATGCCACCAAATTGGGAATTAAATTATTAAGATGCAATGACAGTTTAGCTGGCATTTACAACTCTGAAGTTTGCATTATGAAGTTCATTCCCCAAAATATGTCACTTTAGATAACTGATAGAAAAAACTAGGTTATGTATTTGAATTTGATACAGAAATATCAAATATCAAGTTAAGATATTTTGTATTTGAAATTTCAGGCTCTATGGTATCATTTGGTTTAAGAGTACTCCATGCTGAATTACCACACTATCTCAATAGACATCAAGAATCACTAGATAAATTATACTATGTTTTAGCTGTTACATCTAAGGTAATATATTAAATATGCTTATTATTTATTTTAACCAGTTGTATGTGTTTTTTAAGATGTATAGAAAGGTCTCACCCATGAATCTGTTGAAATCTGGAATACCTCTTTCAATAAGTGATGGTGTGTGTCATATGTATTTTAGATTGTGAAGAATTTAGAAAGTGGACTGTCAGAAGATGGGGCTGGTATAGAATTATCTCTAGATAGCAGGAAAGGTTTGCCTTTTCTTAAAATACCTTTCAATTTCTATGTTTTGAGTAAGGTATCCTACACATCCCTCAAAAATATTTGATTAAGACACCAAGAAAACTACTTCATTGTACCCTCTTGCATTTATGATGTGCCACTTTTAGGCAAGAAAGTAGAGCTGCCATGGATCATCACATTAATCTCTGTCTTGGCTTGACAATTAAATGCTAGGTTGAGATAAATTTCCTTAGAATCTTTCTTTACATTCAGATCTACTTGTTTTGATGATGTAAAAAAATCAAGACCCTCTGGCCTTCTGCAGACAGCTAAAGTTTTCTTTTGAATCTGCACAATTGCATGACTGTCTGTGAAGAACTGTAGAACTGTAGAACCTGTTCTCTATTTCATTACAGCATCTTTGAAATTATGGCAAGCCAGAGAAATCCAAGTACAATATAAAATAGCTTCAGTATTACTGTCCATGAAGGTAAGTCCTCCATAAAAGCCCCAATTTTGTTGTAGTATGATCATTGTGAGATAGTCAATACCTACAGCAAACTAACTTAACTATCACTGCTATACTGTATATCTTGAATACTGGTACCTGTATTTATCATTTTAATTATAGGATTATGAAGCTTCTATTAGTATATTTGAAATGTTGATGAATAAAGAATGTGAAAATAGAATAGCTTTGATGAGTGGTATAGGTAGAATATACTTACAGGTAGGTAATTTAAAAGTGAGGTCAAATTATTATTATTGGACTATTCCATTTGGTTAAGTCAGGAAAACTGACATAGAATTGGATGGGGCTAAAAGTGAGAATCTAGGTTCAGCAATCTGTGAAGATTGCAGGTGCAGAAAAGTAAGATATAAATATATTAATCTTCCATTAATAATTTATTGTCATTGATCATGTATTTATCCATTATTTACAGCACAATTCAAACTCGAGTTTTTTTTATTTATTCATAATGTATGATGGATAAGGTGAGATTTTATTAATTAAGGTTATCTTATATTTTAGATGGGAAATGTCATTAAAGCCACTGAAGCATTCAAACAAGTAGAAAGTGAAACATGTACCCGTGGAAATACTTTCATTGCAATGAATTCTATCAATAAGTAAGCTTTTGTTGTTTCTTGTGAAAATAAGTATAATGAGTTTATGTGTCTATTATAGTTTGTATAGAATTTAATAGGTCTTTAAATCAAAGTATGTCCTCATTTAACAATTATTGTTATTATATTTTAGGGGATTTCTTGCTATGTGTGTAAATAATTTCTCAGAAGCTTATGAACATTTTAAATCAGCTGTACAATTGGAACCCAGTAATACATGTGTAAGTTCATTTTTAGAAGGAGTATAGAAAGCACTGAACATTCATCGGAAATTAATGCAACAAAGCGCCACTACAAATTGATTTTTGAGGATTCCAAAAACTCGTATAAACGCAGGAATGGCAGTTGTCAGTAAACTTTTTTTATAATGTAGTAGCCAAAGTTTTAGAGAAGGTTGTTAATGAAAGATAACATATTTATATTTCATTTGCAGGCTGTAAACAATATGGCAGTGTGTTCTCTATATATGTGCCGTTTAAAGGATGCTTTGAATACATTAGAAGCTCTAGTTCACAACAATCCTGGACAGAATCTACATGAAGGAGTGTTGTTTAATCTATGTACATTATATGAACTGGAATCATCAAGAGCTCTACATAAAAAACAAGCTGTATTAGATATGGTGAATAAACATAAAGGAGATGGCTTCCCAGTTGTTTGTCTAAAGATGTCATGATTGAACTATGTACTAATTATTTAATCAATCTAGTGCACCAAATGATGTGATTTTAATTCAGTAGTCAAGGAAGTTATATGTTAATTCTAATACTCCACTGAGACAATTTATACTTGAAAAACACAATTTATTGTTAGCAAACATTTGTAAGGTTACTTCATTGTTCTTTTGACCACTGACAAAAATTACCATATATCTTATACCCATACTTCAATAACAACAGACTTTAACACATCCATATCCTTTCAGTTTACACAGGTAACAACCATCTCAAGACACTTTCATTACACCTTCACAAATGATTGAATGCATCATCATATTCATATTTTTGTATCAGTATGTTATCTTCATCAAGAAGACTTTTCAGGAAGCTGATGACTATTCTGTGACCATCCAAACCATTTCTCTTCTAACTCCCTTCCACTCAATATATTTTCCTGAAAATAAATATACTATTTATTTGAGGGGTGCATTGTCAACCATTTCAATCTTGAATGACCCAGGATACTTTTGGACTCATTACATACCTTATTGACTTGTTTAAGTGGGATTATCAAAACAATTATTGCAAATGTTTTTTTTGCATTGACACATTCCAAGCTTACTGACTAGTAGACATTTTGTTTTTATACGCCCACATCTCTCTATGGGGACGTATATTGTCGGCACCCCGTCTGTCCATCAACATTTGCCTGTAAATGCTCTAAAATTTTTTGATGGAATCAAATGAAATTCGGTATGTGTATACATATTCATAACACGAGGATCAAGTTCGAATTTGAGCTATTTTCGACCGTTAGAAGCAGAGTTATTGCCCTTGCCTCAAAATCTTGAATATTTACCATCTGCATGCCGTGGTGGGCGTATATGGCTGTTGTCTACTATCGTTGATGTTATTGTGTATATCTTGTGCAATATGTGTATATATATAATGATAAAATATAACTTACACAAATATTTTCTAATGTATTTTCTTCATTTTCTTCTTGCTGTGTACTTAACATCCACTGTATCATACAGAAAAAGTTGTCATACAAACTGAGTAGATCCTTATATCTGCCCAAAACTTAAGTTTGAATTGAGCTTTCACATGACATTTGAATGTCTTATTTAGATCAATGCTAGATCTCAAACAATCTATATATCTTTTCTGTGTCAAAGTATTGAAGATCTATAACTTACAGATCTGATGGTGTTAATGATTTCTATTGTAATATTTAATTCTTCTAAATATTTCTCTATTTCTATCAATATTTTAGAATTTCTCTCTGTTACTATATCACAGGCTTGATTGTGCAGGGCTCTTCTTAAAAATCTGAAGATCAAATAAATTTCATTTACTGGGAAAACATATTACCAAAATATTGAAAACTTTGGTGCGTTGATGACAAATGAAATAAACTTGCTTTCAAAAATATGTCAAGAGTTTTCTTACCTTGCCCTAACAAGACAGGTAGCTGCTTTAACGGGATATGAATATTTACTATTGCTAACAGCAGGGGGAGATAACTCATGTTGTTTTCTATATAAATGATATAATTTATACCAGTATGGCGCGTAACAACAATCTAACTGTAACAGTGACTGTAACGTTTCTATTTGATCTGAAAACAAAATATAGGCCAAGGTAACGCAATATAATGATAACAAAGAATTAATAATATAGGTCAGATTTAATTATGAATACAATATTGTGCAAAAAAGCATTAATTGAGGTTTAGTAAGAGAAAGGATTCCGTGTACAATTTCTGATTAAAGAGGTCCAACAGTATGCAAAAGAATATTTCTATTTTGTATTCCATTGTAAAATATCATTTATATTTAGCCTCTTGTGTCCCAATGTTAATGTGCTTAATAATAAATCTTTAATTACAATACCTTCCATATCATCATTCCTTGTACTTTGTATATCATACAATAAAGTTAAACTTTGTCTTTTAAATATTATATACTCAGATTTTTCCAGCTGAAACAACAGAAAATATCATAAATTGCATTCCAAAATGTGGTTTTCACCTCAAGTTCACAAAATTTGCATAATTGATTGATACGTATGTCATTTAGTCAACAACAAAAACAAACGCGATACAATATATTAAATAAGTTCATCTGATTCACTAAGACAGCTCACTAAGATTTTACAGGACTATTGAATGAATCAAAATATAATTTACCAAATGTCTGGCTATTCTCTCACTTTTATCAAATTGGTGTAGATTTAAGTAACATCTAGCTATAGATTCTACTACATCTCTCCATACTGGTGTCAACTCATACGGTAAATGATCTAAAAAGAAAACAAAACCTGTAGAATTGATGATGGTTTTTTTTTTCTTTTCATAATTCTGATCTGGAGCTCAAAAATACCTGTTTGTGATTTCTCGGTTTCTCGAATAGTCAAAAAGTCTTTGAAAAGATGATGCCCTGATATTTTCCTGCAATAAATATTTATTATCAGTCCTGAAAGAAGGTGAAGGTTTCCATAATAATAACATACCTTTACATAGTTGGTATTTCTTTAAAGCTTGTGTATAGTCACCATTATAATAGAAACTATCAGCACTAAATTTATATATCTGAGATTTATCTGCAGCTTTCTCTATTTCTTCATTGTCATTAAACCACTGAAATATTGTTTTATATACACAGACTGAATTAGGTTTTGTTTAAATATTTCTAGATTTGGATCTATCCTTGAAGATCACGAAAACAACACCAGGGTGTCGTCTTAAAACAAAAAAATAGAAATAAAATAAATTTCAAAAGAAGAGTTTTTATGACAAGAGTATGTCTGGATAAAAAAGAAGAAAATTATGATTATTTGGTAGGCTTGGCACCTTTTTGTTACTAAGCTATCTTGTCTTCTTAATATGTAACAGATCAGATATTTACTCACTTTTGAGTAACAAAACTTGGCATTATATGAAATTATTGGTTCTTTTGCCTTATTATTCTGTTCAAAATCTTCATCCTCAAATCCTAACCCTAGTTCCATATTTTATCTTCTTGTGGCTGTAACAGTGTAAGCTAGATGTGATTTAATAAGCAAATATCAGTGTTATTTTCAATACATAGCCATTATGAAATCAACTACAACATAGCCTTTGGCATTAAATCTGTTTGGCCCATAATAGCCAAGGGCATAATGCTTGAGGAGATCTGGGACTTACAAGAGAAACAACAAAATCATTATTAGGCTATCATTAAATTCTATGAAAACAAATTATTGTATTGACGAAGTTTTATGTTCCTTATTCCTTTGACAAGGGACAATTTAGGCCTACTATGCTTGCTATTTATTGTCTTGTAGGCCTACTAGCCCTTACTAGCTTAGCTGTGACAATTTTTTTAACATGAATTGCAGAGAGAAAGTGATGACTATACATACTCAACACGTGACTGTCAAACAAGTACTACTGTTTATTTACAACAACATGGATCAGTCAACTAATCGAGTCCTTAATAAAGTCTACAAAATAAGACTGCACGTCACCACCATCAGGACACCGAGTCAGATGTTCAGGCTACCGTAAATAGGTAAGAATGAAACCGATAAGAATAAATACCAACATAAAAGTCAATTTGTCCAATCTTTAATTTTGGTTAAAATCTTGTTTCCAAACTTGTTTTATTTCAAATAAAAAAGATTTCTCTGAAAAAGTTTGTATTTGGCCGAAAAGAATAATTTCGTTTTTTATTCATGTAAATGTTAGTAACTTCTAGTCGTGTAGCCACTGTCAACGACAAACGACGGAACTTTTTTGACGCCTCAACAGGTAATTTGATCTCTCATGAAGAGAGACGAAAATGTCCTTCGTAATCGTGATGAACTGAACTGGTTTCACTATAACTTTATCAGTTTATGACTATCATATCTATATAAATTTACGCAATTGTAAGTTGCCTACTGAAAGTTAGATTTTAGTCTTTTAATCCTAGCCCTGTAAGTTGTAATGGAAAATTTCAGCATCCACTTCCATTTTTTCAAGACAGTTTGAAATGTCCCAACAGGCCCACAGCCAGGCCCACAGCCACTGGCACTACCTACTAAGCTAATGTGACTTCATAGAATGACAGGCATATTTCATATTGTACTTGAAAATAATTGGTTTGAAATCACAGGCATCTGTTTCTATCAATAGTCGACTATCGATAAAAACAGATGCCTGTGTTTGAAATGGTTATTTCAAGAGGAAAAACATTAAGCTAAACCGGTACAATACATCAGCAAGCATCAATAACAAAGTATCAACCTATGGCTATAGGCCTGCTTTCCATTCCAGAGTCTCGGACACTGGTGACAAAAGTCCACAACATCTGTCTCTATTCCAGCCTCTGATAGCCATTTTGACAGTTGTCAGCTTGAGTAGGGTCAGAAAACCTTTGCTGACTTTTCCGCATTCATTCATATTTCAAATCAGCATACAAAAATTTTGAATCATGGCCTATATAAATGTTTAATGTGATAGTAGGTCTATATTCTCCTAGTCATTATCAAAAGGCAAGGCTTTTTCTAGACTTTTTTCTAGTGCTCAAGACTGATTTTTTTTTAGGTATTTCTCCACACTTTGAAGTCATTTTGAAGGTTCACTGTTTTCTACTATGTGCTGCAGAACTCTGTGATCATTATACTTCTAATTTCAGATTTAACTTGAATTATATTCTATTGAAATGAGGAAGAAAGACATGACATTGATCGACTTTACAAAAAGTCTGCCTGTACCAAGAAATTTTCGTCGTTATTTAATCATACAGTTGTTAGTTGTTGGTTTTGTTTTGTATTTGTGGATACAGATTAATGGAGGTTTGTGAATTTATTTATTTTTTTTTTTTTGATACCTTTGAATTGATGGAGTTGAATTAGATGGAAGTTTGAACCTACTACTCCTCAACCACAGTGAGCTGAGAATCGTATATAATCAATTCATTAAATAAATATACATGTATAAATAAATATTCAAAAAAATTTTAAATTGCATGTCAGTTATCTTAGAATGTTGATAATATCTCAAAATGATACATTTTCATTAGTTTGCATTTTCATAAACTCAAAGATAATCTAAGACTATCAGTTTTGAAGTTGATATTTCAATTCTTTCAAAGATGATTGACAAAATGTGATTCTATTCTGTAAACAGTTGAATTGTTAACTTTCAACCACCCTAATCTCTATCTATTTTAGGATTTGTACCAAAATTTTTGTACAAAAGACTACCACTATTAGAACTTGGTCCAGATGTTAATGCTTTGTTATATTTTCCTGATATTGATAATGATGCCAGTAAAATCAGATTTTCTGGTTTTGTCAACAAAAAAAAAGAGTTGATCCAAGCAATGGAAGGTAAGATATTTTCCATTCAAGAATTTTGAAATGTTAGCATTGTTATTGTGACAGTTATTTATATAGAATATGAATATAGTATAACTTATGTTCATTTCACAATGATTTCCAAGTTATGCTTATTATATTATACATTGAAATTACATATATGTAGTATATACATACAGATAGTATTATAATATCAAATCGGAGACTTGAATAATGATATAAATCCATAGTGAAATTACATAGAAATACTACGATAGCTTGCAAGTCAAGGTAATATACGCCCACTGGTAGCTTGGATTTTGAATAAAAATATTTGGCAGTTCAGTAACTGAACTTTTTGGGGTGATACAGAACAATATTACCAAGTTTTGTTAAATATGGCAGGAAATCGAGCTGTTTAGCATTTACAGGGTTAAAATTTAATGCGTTTTCAAGAATGAGGTCAATAACGTATAATTTGATTTTCAATAAGGTTCATCCTTAGGTGATTACAACCACTCACAAGATTCTTCAAAATCTGTCAAGAATTGTGCACTCCAGAGCGTTTACAAGGTCAATAAATATTTTTGATTTTTCTGATTTTCAATCGTGTCAAACAAGATTCGTAAGGAATTTGTCAAGAATTGCACCTTCTAGATTGTTTACAAGCAATTGTGGACAGATGCTACCAGTTTTCAATATCAATATATAGAAATTTAGATCGAGTGAAATAGGTATTAAGTATTTTAAAAAGACTCAGAGGAATGTTATGTTGCAATGAGTGTAATTTATAGATTCAATTACCATGATTATGACATTACATATGAGAATGTTTTACTATGTTTACCATTTAACTTTTAGTTTTGACCATTTTTTTCCGCTTTGAGTGGTTCAAACCGGTTAATACCCTGGCCAAAACCCAACCCTGCTTCCTGGTGATGTCTCAGATACAGATATGACATCATGATATGACTGAACCTAAGATTGTTAATAATAGCGTTGAATTGAGGACAGCTTGAATTTTTATGGTGCAATGATTTACTTGCAACTGGATATACAATTATTTGTGACTCTCTCAGCTGGTATTTGAATCCGTTTATCAAATTCAAATTTTGTAGCTCTCTTGATTGATTTTTTGAAGGCTCAAGTCATATGTTAGAAGGTACCGTAATATTGAGAGGACAACACACTAATTCTCAGAAATTGTTACCTGTTATGGCAGATCCTAGTAAATCAGATGGTGATACTACTTTAGATGAATGGTTAAATCAGGTCAAATCTGGTCAGAAGGGGATTAAACTGGTTTTTACTAGTATTGATGCTGTTGAAATATCTTTACAAAAACTAAAAGCTTTAAAAGAAAAGGTAAGAAAAGCACTACTTCAAATCCACACCATACTAAAAATTTCCTACCAATTATCATGACCCTTGAATTTGTATATTATATAAAGGATTAAGGTGCTATTTCAAAAGGGGATGCTTTAAAAATATTTTCCTTATTTACATTTTCAACTGATGTTCATATTTCTTGGTATGCATGCATAAAATGAAAGTTTCTTGTAACACTGAATACTTGCTGATGTGGAACAATTTGGATTGGTCCACTATCTGTGATTTTATATTTATATTTTCTTCAGGGTTTTTTAAAGTTTCCCGTTTGGATTCATGCTGATGTATTGCAAGGACCAAATGGTGAAAATCCAATCATGGATTCAACAAGATTTTTGAGGCATTTAAAAGGAAATTTTCCAAAATGCACACTATCATTAGGGTGGACTAAAACTTCTCATACAGATACAAGTCAGAGTGGGTATACATGGGAAATGGTAATTGCCATGTATAAAATAATACAGAGCTGGGAAATAGATGACCAACCAGTGGTATTTAATGCTTATCTTTCCTACTTGAAGAACTCTGTACCACAATTAAAGTGGCTATCAGACAATATCCTCCATTCTAGTCTACTGGTACTTCATTCTCCTAATGAGTTAGGTTCTAGAGAAGACATGTTATATGCTGCCTACAGATTCCCTCCAGAAAAATTATTTTTCAATTTACAACATGAAGAATTGTACAAAGTGGTAGAAAAATACAGACACTTTTCACGAGATCAAGTCAATCCTCTAGTGCTGAAGAGAGATTTGGTAATGTTCCATCCACAGGCCTGGGTCAAGATGGGATTTCACATGGAGAAAGATTCAGTATTAGGTAGTACGGAAGCCATAATTCTAACTAGTCCAATAGTTTATATAGTTAGTAAAACACATTATAAACCTACACCTTTGATAAGTATACATGGGCGTGTTCATTTTTTACAATTCGACAAGAAAGCTGAAGCTGAATCTACAGGATTGAATATTTACCTACGTCCAACAGCATATACACATTTTGAAAACATCGTGGCCATTCGATGTTTCCTTGGTTTCGATGGTCTGATAAAAGTAGATGGTAGCAATTTAAAGGAAAAATATTCATTTAAAGCAAAGTCATTGAGAATTACGCCAAGTTCAGCAAAATGTTACAGATTTGAAATCATAGATGCTGGGCACGAAGTAATTTTCCGAGTGAATGTTGTACATAGTTGTAATACACTAGAGTCAGTATTAGAAGATAGTGAAGTACATGCAGAATTAAAAGTTGAAGTTCCTGCTGAATATGGTAATAATGATCATCCCTATATATTAAGAGTTGAAGACAATAAAAGATATGTGATAATTGATGAACTTATGATTAAACATACATAAACTATTCTAGCCATTTATAGTAAAAGAGTTGTGATGTTATATAAATTGGAAATCAAAACATGGATAAATCATATGTAATGTATAAATGAACGCTTAATTATCTTTTAACAAATATTTCAATACCATGTCCAATATTACAAAAGATGTACAGATTATAAAGAGTTTTTCTTAATTATTTTATGTGTATCGGGGACTGCAATTCCACAAAAAAGAAGTGTTTGATGATGTCACTAATCGTAAAATATGGCCCTTCGCAATTAGTGACATCATCAAACACTTCTTTTTAGTGAAATTGCAGGAACCTTAGATGTCTGATTGAAAATTTGAATGATACAAAATTTAGAAAAACTTTTTATAATCCCTTTAAAAAATGATACCTTTGCAACAACATGATGCAAGTATGCAATTTTTATACACCCACATGAATGCCCTCTAGAAGGCACAATTCAAAACTGATTTTGATGAAACCCTATTGAAAACCAGAAATGAATTATTGCCTTTGTTCTTGAAATACTTGTAATACTCTAGAAGGCAACCATTCTTGACTGATTTTGATGAAATTTTGTAAGAGTATTTGTAATCTCAAGTTGACTCTAAATAATACTACGTATTTTAGAGATATACTACCAAGTAGATAAATATCATGCAATTTTGTATTACTTGATTTAGATCTTTGAAAACAGTAAATTTTGTAAAGTATTAGATAATTATGGTATAAGATGTACCACAACTTATCTTTATGTACTTGTGTAAAAATTAGATATATGTCCATCGGGCGGGTATTTTTACTCAAACTACGTTGCCATCTTTATGAGTCGTTGGTCATTGGTTGAGCGAATGAAATTTATGGTGTTATGCTGTCGAAAAAAAGGAGCTGACCTCATTAAAAACAAGAAAATTGTCAGTTTTTGGTAAAAAATACCTCAAGAAAGAAAAATATATCAACACAACCAAATTTGTTGCACTATTTCAAGATATATTCATAAATGATCTTCTGAGACTCTGCATTGACAGACAAGATGTTTCGGTCTAGACTGAAAGTTGACATTTCATACTGGTGATTGTTACTGTACTGCCAAATATTTTTATTCAAAATCAAAGCTGCCAGTGGGCATATATTACCTTGCCTGGCAAGGTATACTTATTTACTATCTGAATTGCGTTTTTCTTTTTAATTCATGATCATACTTATGCACATTTTACCCACATGAAAATGTTTTCATTTAATATTAGCGTGATAGGAGATGTAGTTCTCATTTGAGTTTTATGAAACTTGTTGTGAACATGTAGAAACATATAGTTAGGATTTCAATGAGCCTGAGGATATTCATGTCCAACATCTGAAAAACAGTGAAGCCATTCCTGTCCATCCATCTGTCCGTCCACATTTCTTGTTGACACGATAGAGGCTACCATTTTTATCCGATCTTGATAAACGTTTGTATGCATGTAAGTATATAGTGATGAGATCTCAGTCAATTTCAAAATTGGTAATAAGCGCATGAATAGTTCAGAGTTATTGTCGTGTGTATGTTGAAGATAGCTTATTTGAATTTAATGATAATTTAATCATCTGTTTTGACTTATATTCATTAATAAGCCACTAAAGATTTTGTTATCATTTCTGACAGCTGGTAGTGGACGTATGCTACCTTGCCTGGCAAGCTATCTTTTATTGATCCTGTCAGCATGTTTGTGGCAAGTTAGAGATCTTATGCTATTACTTAAATATCAAATTAGGCCATGACATTACATGTGATTATATATATTTTACCATTTACCCATTAAGACCTGTTACCATGCCAACAAAGTAAGCAGAAAGAGTTCTAAAATTTCTTGATAAAAATTTATATTGATAAAAAGTAACATCTTCTATTGGTAGAAGTTAACTGAATTTATTCCTTATAAACATTCCTCAATATATTTAATATAATGTGCTTCTATTTTGACATTATTTAATTTACATTTATCTATTTCAAATAATCTTTAATTACATAATTAATTGTTCTCATGTATTGTCAGTGATAGTATGAATGGTTGAATGTTTGTTTTTTAGTCTTCTCTTGTCATTCCTTGCTCTTTCCTGGATCATAACTAAAATTCAGCAAAGAAAGTATATAGTGTTTGTTTATTGTCATGCAAGAAGGACATTGTTTAAACTAACGTTTATTAGAAGTGTCTGGTGTCAGAATTCTGTGGTTATAGTTAATTCTCAAAGACAGATGAAAAACTTATAAAGATCTTATTGAACAGTGCTTTAGATTATTTAAACAAACTCTGATTTTGTTTTCCTGATATTGTCAGTCCAAATTGAAGCTTTTTTTAATCCAATTGTGTGAATCTGAAAAGTGTGTGATTTTTTTTACTGTTATTGTTGTATATCATATATAATCTTTTATAGAAATAAATATCTTTTAATATGTTGTAGATTTTAGTTAAATTTAATATATTTTGTATATATAGGATAACGAACTAGTGTTGATTTGTGTGGATAATGATACTTGACAGTTTAAAAATTGACAATGTATGTATGAAAAGTTTTCAAGTGATAGACACATTTTGTTGGCATGAATGCTACTTCCAAAAAAGAGAAGTCAGAAAATATTTTAACTTTTATTGGCAATAAAATGTAATAATAATCTTTAAATAACTTAATTGTTTAAATATCTAACCAAACTCTCCATTTTTGTTGAAAGATTGAAATAACTAATAAAAAAACAAAAAAACCAACAAAGTGCCACCATAAAATACCTCTCCTAATATTTTCACTTATAGTAAATAGGGTAAAAATGCTAAATATAGGGTGTAATTTGAAAAAATGGAATAAAATACCAACATTTCACAGACAACTAATCTCATTTCAAACGGTGGAAAAGTTACATTAGTGGGATCCAAAGGTTTTGATTATGGTGTTTCTCAATTTCTCAGCAAGCATTTTTTGATCGTGGGTAGCTTGTAATAAATACAGTATGACTTAAGCATTAGCTGTATTTTGTTTATTTGTTGTTTTTTTTTTCTTAATTTTACTTCGTATAACATTTTAAAGACAAAACATGAATCAAAAGTAAATATGGAAAACTATGACACCCAATTTTAGCTGCATTGAACAATTATCCTGAATATGAATTGGCTCCAATGAGCAGCCTAATGCTAAAATTTTAAAGTGAGGGCAACTTTCAGAATTATATAGTAACAAACATATACTTTTTGACAAAATTGTGATGGATTAGTTTTGTGTTCATTTCCTCTAAATTTGTTGAAATCACAACCGTAATTTTGATTACAACTAGCTGAAGATAATAATATAGTTTTTTAAGTTTCCCCCACTTTAGTCAAATAAATATAAATAATCATTAATGAACTTGAATTTGAAATGTATCTTTGGAAAGAACTTTATGAATGGCAATCTAATTAAAATACAACTTACAGATCTTATATATTTTGTTAATTATATGAGATATTGCCTTTATTGTGTTATTAAGATATTATCAAACAAATTTAACCATCAAAGAAAACATAATAAAGATGTTGTATTTTAATTAGATTGTTTTTTATCAGCAGCTATATGTGCTACCCTGTATTATAAAATATTAATTGCTTGTTATCTGTTAAATTCTATGATAGTTGAATCCACAATAAATTAACAAAGTCGTTTCCTATTTCTAATTCAAAAAGCTAATAAAAAAATTAAAGTCTTCAAGAAAGACAACCCTCATTTAAGGACCAGCCTTAGCAAAATTACAAATATACAGTATAATGAGCTCAGTAATGTACATACACTAATAATAGGCCTACATGAGATTGCAAATATATAACAAATAGCACAGTTGTATCACATCAGCTTTAACTAAGAGCAGAGCATTTTTTCATTAGTAACATAATTTCCACAGAGGCTCTCATCGATGTATGAAAAAGCATAGATATACTTAGTCTACTTACACTGCTAAATTTTGAAATATCACTTGTAAGTCAGACGCAAAAAATAGAATTTTAATTTTCCAAAAACTTAAAGTTGAATCACTATGGTGTTGAAAAAATTGATCTATTATAAAATAGCTGAAAATGTAATTCACCAAAAATTTGAATATATCAGGTAGATAGCATGTTAAAGACATTTCTATTTTAAGTAAAAGCCACCTGCACAGAATTTGTTCATACAAAAATCTTACCTAAAACACAGCTCTAGTTTTTTCCCAACATATTCATTTTTATCTATCTGGAAACTTACCATATTATTATATTCCAAATAAAGAGGGAATTAAAATAAGCTTTAATCAGAATTAGAATTACTGTATCTGTAAAGAAAATGACAG